GTTTCTCTGTTCCGGGGGAAGTACCGCCCTTCTCGCCTTCCCTCATGGACGTCCGTGCTTTGCTGTTGCAGAGGGCCGCGGGGTGAAGGTTGCCCGTGCCCTGGTGGGCACCTTCATGTCATCGCTGGAGATGCCGGGCCTCTCCCTCACCCTTCTGCTGGTGGATGAGCCCCTGCTGAAACTGATAGGTGAGACCTTGAGCCTGGGTCATCCAAGCCAGGGTCCTTGTAGCTGGAAGGAGCCAGGGGCCTTGGGGAGAGCCCACCAGAGGTCTCCTCATTGACCATGACCATCAGGCCCCCGGGGAAGGTCCCTTTTGACGTCTCCAGCTCTCGCATGACTGGAGGAGTTGGTGTTAGGCTTCTCCCCAGGGACAGCCCCTCTTCCCTTGTATACAGTGGGTACTCAGTACTTGCTTTTTGAGACGGAGGGAACTGGCCAGGGGGAATCCCGTTCCCACCTGACCCCTGGCCAGCCACCCCATGTCTAAGAGTCGTCCTGCTGCCGCTAGATGCTGAGACGACTGCGTCGGCCTGGCCGAACACGCCCAAGGTCTTCGTGACGGGGCGGAAGCGGACTCGGGCAGCCCCCTCCCGGCCCTCAGAGGCCCCTGACTTCACTACAGAAGGTACCGGGCCCTGCTGTTGGGGTAGGTGACCTGGACATGGGCCTGAGTCCCGAAGGGTGAGGGGTGTGCAGGGGCCCTAACGCCCGTATCTCACACCCCATCAAGCTCAGCTGTGCGAGGGCCAGGTGCTCCTCCTCCCGCTGTCCTCCCCGCAGGCTTGCTCTCGAAGCGGATGGCGCTCGTGCTGGAGCGGGTGTGCACGACCCTCCTGGACCTGGAGGAGTACCTGAACGCCCTGGACCGTGTGTCTGGCGACGGGGACTGTGGGACCACCCACAGCCGCGCTGCCCGAGGTGGGTGCCAGGGCCCTCGCTGTCACATGTCTGAGATGTTGGCATTTCATGAGCCAGAACAATTTCGGAGTACTTGCATGGGCTGCCAGCTTTCCTTTTGCCAAGCACAGTCCTGCACAAAGCCTCGCACCCCATCCACCATTTTCATAGAGAACAGGCCTGCGCCACTGCAGACATGGGGAGTTGTCACTGCAGAGCAAGGTGTCTCTTTCACAGGGAGGGACTAGGTTCCGAGGGAACCCGCTCTGTAGTACCCGGGCGAGTGCACCCGTCTTCATTGTCCCACGTCAGTCAGGAAAACTAGTTAGTGCCTCTCGTGGGCCGGGCGACTCTGGATACAGCAGTGAGCAAAGCAGATGGAAAGCGCGGCCCGCGTGGCTGATGCCCAGTACCAGACCCAGGACAGCGTGGCGGCCGAGGAGGAGCATGAAGCCGGGAAGCGAGGCCTGGGGGGAGGCCTGCCACCGTTCCTCACCCTCTGCCTGCTGCGGGGGCCTCTGACCACCCCTCTCCGCCTGCAGCCATCCAGGAGCAGCTGAGGGAGGGTCCACCCCCTGCCAGTCCTGCCAAGATGCTCTCCGAATTGTCCCTCCTGCTGCTGGAGAAGATGGGAGGCTCGTCCGGGGCAGTGAGTGCTGCAGTCCCCGGGGCGAGGGTGACAACGGCCCTGGGCTGGCTGCGGCCCAGGCCGGGCCTGAGTGTAAAAATTCTGGTCCTCCCAGCTCTATGGCCTGTTCCTGACCGCAGCGGCCCAGCCCCTCAAGACCAGCACTGACCTCCCAGCCTGGTCTGCTGCCATGGATGCCGGCCTGGAGGCCATGAAGAAGTGAGTGCAGCCTGTGCCTTAGCCCAGGGGGGGCTGGTGGGGGGTTGATTGTCACCTGCTCCCAGCCAGGCCCTGCCCCACCCCCAGCACCCCCTCCAGTGACCGCTTGTTCTCTCCCCTGCAGGTATGGGAAGGCTGCCCCAGGAGACAGGACTATGGTGTGTATGCGCTCAGCCCTTCCCCCTCTGATTGCAGAGCCCTGAAGGCCACCCTCAGTGCCAGGGCCTGTGCTCACCCCCCTCCCTCATCTTGTCCAGCTGGATTCTCTCTGGGCAGCAGGACAGGAGCTCCAAGCCTTGAGGCACCCAAACGCTAATCTGTTCCACATCCTGACCAAGGCAGTGGAGGTGAGTGGAGGGGCCCAGCCAACAGGGGCATGCTGGGAGCCAGTGAATACCCATCCTATGCTCGCTCCCTCTCCTGAGAATGGAGACGAGTGCCTGTCCGGAGGGTGTGCAAGGCTGAAGGTGAACAGAGCCCAGCCTGGTAACTGGGACCCAGCAGGTCCTCAGGAAATGGGGCCACGGGCCTTACTACAGACAGGTGGGCGTGGCCGCTCTGCCCTGGGGACAGAACAGAGGGCGCTGGCAGAGCTGGGACAGGAGGGTCCAGGGCCTCCCCCAAGCCCAGGCCTTGCTTCCAGGGCAGGAGGAGGCCGGAGGCTTGTCCTTACCCTGCTCCTCTCCGTCCCCCTCAGAGCGCAGAAGCTGCAGCCCAGGCCACCAAGGACATGACAGCTGGAGCTGGGAGAGCCAGTTACATCAGCTCTATGAAGCTCGACCAGCCAGACCCCGGGGCAGTGGCCGCCGCGGCCATTCTCCGGGCCATCCTGGAGGTCTTGCAGAACCTGGAGAGTTTGTGAGTGCCACTCTCACTACTGTGCAGAGGCTGCCACTGTCACTTCCCTTGCCGTCCACCTGTCACCTCCCTCGCCTCGCACACCCATCCTCTACGTTCAGCAGCAACCCCTGCCAGCCTCCAGAGCGACTGCAGTGTAGACTGCAGGCCCAGAGGGGTCACTGCCTACTCAGGGAAGGTGGGCCCCGGGCTCAGCCTGCTCGGTCTCAGCAGCGAGGCATTTCCCTGGGGCGGCACAGCCGTAACTGGCATTGCTGACGTGGTGTCAAGACTCCCGGGAAACACCTGCACCTGAACCGGTGCCACTGTTAAAAGCAGCTAATAAACCGCATCGGAGCCAGAGCTGCCGCCTCCGAGGCCCTGTCTCCAGGCGTGAGGAGCCGTCCTCTGCTGCCCTGGGCAGCGCTCAGCCCCTGGCAAGATGAGCCCTCCTTCCACCGAGACCCCAAGGCCAGGCCTGCACGGCTGGGCTGGCTCCACCGGGACCCCAGTCCTGTCCACCCGATACACACGCCACACCCAAGGGTGTGCTTTTCTCAGCACTAAACCAACAGAACCCACTGATCCTTCAGGAAGCCAGTGGGCACATGGGACCCCAAGAGGAAAAGAAGCCGCCATAGTGTAAGCTGGGTGGTGGCACAGGAACCGCGCCCAGGCCAGCCCTGCTCTAGAGCAATCCCGGCAGCACTGCCGGGCCCCGTGCGTGATGGGCAGGGCAGCGCACACCGACCCGTGCTCCGTGCAGGGCCGGTCCCAGGGCCTGGTGTGCCCTCACATGGACACGGCTGAGTCCCTGTTCTGCTTCAAACTAGCTCCAGAAGCTCAGGCCTGTCATTTAGCCCCGTGGAATCTGGGAAATTGAATGGCGCCCGCCTGTGGGGACAATAGGAAAGGATCCAGCGAATCGATGTGAAGCCTCAGCACAGTCCGGGGGCCACTCACTGCGGGTCACTCCTCTCACTGGTGTCTGCTCCCCACTTCCAGGGCCTGCGCCACCACCTACACTGCAGCTGGTCACATGGGGGGCCCATCACCCACTCAGCCCAGGGCTCCTGTGCACCAGCCGCCCCACGGTCCCGGACCGCGAGGCAGTTATCAGTGTGCGCAGACGGACACACCCAGCAGCTGGGGAGGAGGCTGGCATCAGACACCTGCCAGTGGGTCCCAGCGCTGCCACTTCCTGTTGGGTGACCTCGGGCAGGTGTGGGAGTACACACCAGGAAGTGCTGGGGCCACAGCAGGAGCAGCGGCTCCGGGCGACAGTCCTCTTAAGGCCTCAGGGTCAGAACTGTCCTGGGCTTTTCCTCACCGCCCAGAGCTCCCTTAACCACAATCTCATTTCAGTAGAAGAGGCTTTGGTTCTTAAAAACATATTTAATGAGAATCAGGCTTTACAAACAGGTGAAATGCCTACCTATGTGGTAAGGAGGGGTCATGTGACCCAGCTGCCTGGCAGCCATCGAGGTGGCTTTGGAGCCTTCGGCCACCAGAGGTTCAGGCGGAGTCCTGCTGGCATCTGGCCTGTGGGTCGGGGGGCCAGTCGCCTCATCGCCATGGGCCAGAGAGGAAACACACTCAGACCCGGGCGTCAGCTGCTCACCTTCTACGCACAGCACTGTGGCCCCGGGACCCAGCAGGACTCATGTGGAGGCAGGAAAAGCCAAAGCCCCAACACGTAGGAGACGAGCCAGGCCCTCCCCCACTTCTCTGGAAAAGCTCCGCTCCCACTGCACTCTGCAGGAGGTGGGCTTGGGCCTGCGAGCAGCCGCTGTGGGAGCAGTGAGGCGCTCGTGCTCAGCAAAAACCTGCGAAGGTGGCCGTGGTCCTCGGCTCTGCTGGGACAAAGCACCCAGCGCTGGTCGTGTCGTGTGGCTGGGGACAGGCAGGGGAGCCCTAACCTGGCGAAGGAGTAAGGCACCCCTGCCAGCCCTCCCCGCTGGGACAGCTGGGGACAGCAGGTTCCAGGCTCCTTGGCTGCCTGGCGGGGACAGGCCGGATCCAGGTCCGGGCTGTAGCAGCAACAAGAAGCGATGGCGCCAACGGTCACAGTGGACTTGAGACATGAACAGAACGGCGAAGAGCAGGCAGCCTCAGTTTCCCTGCAGAGCTGCCCTGTCATCCCCTCCCTCCCAGCCTCAAGTCCAGGGTCCAGCCATGGCGGGTGCCTAAATGGCGTGCACGTCCCAGGGAGAGCCAACTTCGCATTAGACTGCGCTGGAGTCGGGCCATCGGAGCTGCTGGGACTTGCCACCACCTCCCGAGGTGTCTAGGGAACCAGCTCGGCTGGACTTGAGCCAGGGAGCAGGAGTGCGCGCGCCGCCAGGGCAGGAAGGGCCTGTGTACAGGGAGGACCTCACAAGTCGATGCCAGGAAGGAGAGCAGAAGTCAGAGCACCGAGAGACGCGTAGGCAGCACGTGGCGGAGAGAGCAGCCCACGGGGCGGGCGAGGTGGGGGCTCGGCAAACCGCCGGGAGCCCCAGGTAGAGCAGAGGTGCTGAGGGAGTCCAGACGCACCCCGACCGCTCCTGCGTCCCTTCTCGCTTCACTCCCTTTCACGCAACAGGGGCTGGAAGACAGCAGGCGCACAGGGTTAGAGGCCTAACGTCAAAATGGCCCCTGACCTGCAGGCATCACACCAGGTCTGAGCTGGTCACACAGACCCCAACCTTCAGTCCCCAAGTCACATCTTTCAGGGAAGCCCGAGCCCCTCAGCCTGACACCCCCTCACACCACCCCTCAGATGCCGAGTGCCAACAGGCAGAACCTGCTCCAAGTACTCAGCTCGTCCACAAGCACCTGCGAGACCAGCCTCGAGCTGGGAACGCAGAGGTGACGACACCCCTCTTCACGCCCAAGGCTCCCCTGGGGAGGGTAAGGCCACACTTTCCCTCCGGAAGCCACAAGAATCTGGGGAAGGGAGTAACCCCCGTCCTCGCCTGGGAGCCCCGGAGCCTGGGCAGCTGCATCTGCTCCGATGGCGGGGACGGGCTGGCCTGACACCAGTGCCCCACCTTCCAGCTGCCCAGTCCCCCACCATGTTCCTAGGTTAGTCTTCCTGGTAAGGCCCACGCCTCTCCTGGTGACCATTCTAGACCCAGCCCTCCCCGAGCCTGGCCGGGGAGACCAGGGCCCGCACCTGTCCTTCGGTCGTGATCCCCACTTCCGGGCGTTTCCAGGATGAGGCCTGCAGGACGTAGAGCACCAGCAGCCCGAAGGCCACCACCAGCATGCCGGTGCTGTTGGCAAAGACCGCCTCGCCGGGCAGGCTGGAGTAGGGCCTGGTGGCGTTCTTCCTGTGGGTGACCAGAAACGTGGGCCCGAGAGACTTCCCCGGTCCTCGCCTGGCGCGAGACCCAGGGCCACGCACAGAGGGTGGCGAGCTCCCGGGACGGGACCCGCAGTGCTGACGTGCTGCTGAGCCCCAGCCCCACAGACACCTGCAGGGCGCCCCTCCCCGAGAGGAGCTCATTTGTAAGTGGCCCCGACAGTGGCCATGTCGTAGGGCAGCCCGAGGGCACGCTAGAAGAGTTCGGCGCAGCAGGTGCTGAGTCTGGGTGATGCTGGCCACATCCCGACGGACCGATTTGCCAAGCTCACCAAGAAAGGCCGCTGCCTTCCAGACCAGGACGCCCAGCCCCCAGGCCCCTCTCGGCAGGGCTGTGACCAGAGCCATCTGAAGGCCCTGCCCTTTCCCCTCCACGCAGACGGCCCACCCACTCACAGGCTGAAGAAGAGCTTCTCATTGATGCCGGAAATGACGGACGCCATGGCCAGAGCGAGGATGGAGGCTCCGAAGAAGACGTGGATGGGCTTGAGGAGGCTGCGCAGCCACAGGGACGCCCAGGGCAGCAGGAAGACGGTGAAGCCCAGGAGCCACTGTGACGCAGGGAGGAGGCGCTGAGCCGCCGTGACCACAGTCGCCGCCGACGGGCCAGGGGACCTTCTCCCTCCGCTCCCATCAAACCTCCCGCCAGGAATTGCCCCAGCACCACCGCGTCCCCGCTGTGACCTGTTTCTCCTACACAAACAAGAACCTTTCATGACTGCGCAGCTACAAGCCCCTCTCCTGCAGTCATCCTTGCCGGCCTCCGCTTCCTTGCGTCCTGGCTCATCACCCCCGGCTCACGGCGCTCTGGAAGCGCAGGCCAGCAGGGTGATGGGCGCAGAGTGAGTGCCGGAGCCACAGTCTCCATGGCCCTTTCAAATGCCCACCTACAGGGTGTGCCTGCAAAGGCCGCCTCCACGCAACCAGCGAGACCAGGGCCCGCACCTGTCCTTCGGGGCTGATGCAAGTGAAGCCCCAAGCAGAGCCCATGGCTGATCCGGCGGTGGGAACCCTAAGGAGGGCAGAGCACCCACCTGGCAGGCGAAGAAGAACACGGTGGTGATGCCCAACCAGCTGTGCAGGGAGTAGAGGTTGGCGATGTGCTTGTTGTTGTGGTATCTGAAGACGGCCACCAGCCCCAGCACGGTCAGGACGAAGGCCAGCAGGTGCAGGGACGCGTGGGCGATTTTCCAGGGCAGCTTGGGCCCCACCCAGGACTGGGGCAGGCGGTACACCAGCGACGCTACCGGAGAGAGCAGTCCAGGGCTCAGCCTCCTCCCCTCTGCTCGCCCCACGTCAGGGGATTACCCACATGTCCCCACACAGCCTCCGACGAGGGAGGGAGGAAATGCCAGGACAGATCAGGAAATGCCAGGACACGCATCGGCGTCTTCTATCCTTGCATTGTTTCCGCGACACCAGCCAGCCGTGAAGGCAGGAGAGAAGGGACAGGGATAAAAAGGGAGGAACAGGTTTCCTGGACCTGCCCTTCCGTCACTGCGATACCCAAGGTGGTCTGGAGGCCGGTTTGCCGGTTAGGTGACCCAGGTCCAGATCCTGGCTCTGCCTCCTAGCCACCTGGATCCTCTTTCTAATCTCAGCGTCCTCATCTGGAGGAGGGATAGCAATAGAGCCCGCCTCACAAGCTTCTTGTAAAAGCAAAATGGGGTGATGACCTGAAGCACAGGGGTAAGCTGCTCTCACAGTGTCCCCCCATCCCCGTTTACAAGTGGGGGAAGGAGGCCCTCCTGGGCCCCAAGCCCAGCTCTGGATGCTCCGGGCCAAGATGAGTCCGGCAGGAGTAAGCAGACCCCTTATGCAGGGCCCTCTAGGCCAAGAGAGGCGTCCACCTCCTGCTCCCAGAGCCGGACGGCCAACTGCAGCTCCCAGGCCCAGCCCCGCCCGCCCATCTCTGTGAAGGAAGCTTCCTGGAACAGCCATGCACGTGTTTCTGTCCTCCACGGCCACTCTCAGAGCACAGAGCAGAGCTGAGTGGCTGCAACACCCATCACGCGGCCTGCAAAGCCTGATGCTACTCCCTGGCCCCTTTTCTAGAAAATACCTGGGAAGCTGCCCTTTCCACATGCCCCATTCTCACTGCTTCTTCCTCCGACTGACACCTGGGCCCAAAGGCAGACCAACCGCCCGACATCCACAGCCCTGAGCCCAACAGTGACAGGCGGGTCCCGGCACGTCTCCCACGCTGACCTCACTCACCAGCGCTGTAGACCACCACCATGCCGGCCACCATGAGCACCGGGTGGCAGTTGAACGTGAGGATGCTGCCATCCCAGGCAAAGCCACCGTGCCAGCTCCACATCCAATAGACGGTGAAGAGGACACACACGGAGCCCAGGGCGGACAGCGCCAGGACCAACAGGTAAAAGCGTCCCTCGGCCATTCCGTCAGGCTCCTAGAAGCAGCAGCAGCCACGTGTCCCTCCGCTCAGTGCACCCACACCAGCGACGACTGTGCTCTCGGTCCGGAGGGTGGACACTTTTCAGTTCCCCTGGGCACCACCCCGTGAGGCCGGACCCCTGGGTAGGGACCGTGACTGAGGCCCCACCCCAGACCTGGCAGCACACAGGGCGCCCCGCAGGCCTGGGGCTGGCCCCGAGTGGCGTCTCCTCTGCTGTGGCCGGTGCCAGGGCTCTGGGCCCACAGGACCCGGAGATAAAGAGCCACCTCCTCACGGCAAGAAGGGGCAGGAATCAAACTCCGGCTGGACCACACCACGGCCGGCCGCACTTCCGACAGGAGCCGACGCTCCCTCAGCCGCCGGAGGACGGCGCTGGGCCCCGCTCTACAGAACAGCTCTCCCGAGGGTGAGCCCTGTGGGCCGGGCCTTCCCTTCCCTCCCGATCCCCACACTCCACACCTTGAACTGGGCGCGGTCTCGGCTAATCCCCAGGCCTGAGCCTTCCGCTTTCTCTTCCTCTGGGGAAAGTCCAGGGGAGAAAAGAGGAAGCGAGAACTCATGCTCTAGAAAGCAGGAGTTTACAGTGTGTCCTCCCCTGACACGGTCGGTGGGAACTGTGGTGAGCTGCAGATGAAGCGTTTCACCCCAGCCCCCCTGTTCTAAACAGTGAAGTCCCCACAGCGCCTCATCCATGTTAAATGGAACGACATTATTCAAGGACCTGCTGTATTTCCACCCGAACTGGTAACTCAGAAAGCAGCTCTGGTGCCAGGCCTGGAGGGCGCGAGGCCCCCAGCTGCCCTTACAAGTCAGGCAGGTGGGCGTGGGGCGTAGCGGGCAGTGCCACTGCCTTCAGCTAACGGGCAGGGAGCACGGGCCCATTCTCCAGGCAGTCACACATCCCACGGGCTCACCAAAACGTGGCACTGAACCAGCTCACAGAGGGAAGAGGGGCCCTAAAGGAGGCAAAACTCACGAGGAGAGAGCCCTTTCCTCCTTACCTTAGACCCGGGCAGGCTGCAGAGCGGCGGCCTGGCGAGGCGGGCAAGGCGCTTGAGCAGGCACGCAGCACTCAGTCTTCTCAGCTGGAAGAGGGGCACAGCGGTGAGGACATAACTCAGTGAGGCGGCTACGAGCAGACCCACACTGGACCCTTACGCACGCGGTGCCGGGGACTCCGCTTAGCCAGCCTGCGAGGAGGTACCTCCCGTTTTACAGATGAGGAAGCGGGGGCTCAGGAGAAGTCGCTGGCACTAAGACCCAGTCACTGAGCAGGAAGTGTCAAACCCGACCGGTTTGCCTTCAGGGCCCATGTTTTTTCCTTGACCACAGTTGTCGGAGGGAGTGAGAAAATGTGTGTAAGGACACAGTGAAAGTCAAGTATTACACTTTTCTTCGTGTCGTCGCTAAGAAAAACCCACCAGCAAAAACCTGAAGCTCGGCCCTAGCCGGTTTGGCTCAGTGGATAGAGCACCGGCCTGCGGACTGAAGGGTCCCGGGTTCGATTCCGGTCAAGGGCACATGCCCAGGTTGTGGGCTCGATCCCTAGTAGGAGGTGTGCAGGAAGCAGACGATCAATGATTCTCTCTCACCATTGATGTCTCTCTCTCTCTCCCCCTTCCTCTCTGAAATCAATAAAAATATGTAAACAACAAAAATAAAAACCGCAGGCTCATGGCCCTCGTGCCTGCCCAGGCCTCTCAGTGGCCCTGACTCTGGGCCAGGCCAGCTCTCTCCAGCCAGGTGTCCACCTAACCAGAAGCAGACACTGAGCTCTCAGGCGGCGATCCAAGCTGCAATCACCTCGGATGAAGGTCACTGAGGTCTGGGGAAAGAAGCCAGCTTCCACGAGGCCCGAAGGCCACAATCAAGCCATCAGCTTCCTCCCTCCTCAACCCGGAGCTCAGAGCTGTCCCTTAGCCTCAGGCCACCAGAGGCTCAGTCACCCCCACCCCTCCCCGCCCCCCAGGAAGGGTAAAGTCAGCAAGAAGGAGCTCTTGGTCAGTGGGCTCCACCCATCAAACATCTACTTTCAGCATTTTCCTTTGTTAAAGGAGAAAAGAATATCATCCAAAAGGGACTGGACCCTCGCCCTGGCAGAGGTCCTGTTACTGCGCTGGGGCAGGCGTGGAACCGGGCACAGGGCACAGGGCACAGACGAGCCCTCCCTCTGCCTGAGATACAGCCACACAGAGGACAGGGAAGGACGCGGGGACGCGGCAATCAGACGCTGAGAACACCCCCTCATGCACTCCGAGGGCAGGCGGTGCTGGTCCAGGAGGTGCTCACCCAGGCGTGGCCTCCTGTTCCGCCCTCGCTTCCCGGGGGCCCATTCTCAGGGCCGGCCGAGACCTCCTCTGTGAAGGGAGGATGGTAGACATTTCAGTCTCGGCAGGCGTCCGGGCTATCACACCCGACGCAGTGCGGGCCGTCACAGGCGACGCCTTCACAAAGGGCCATGGCTGTGTTCCAAAGAAGCGTTACTGACGGACACGGAGACTAATTTCTTACCATCTTCACATTTTACCCTTTTCACTTCTCTTCAGCCACTTAAGAATGCGCAGGCCCTTCAGGGGGGCCCGCTGTGGCCTGTGGTGAGGCCTGCCGCCCTGACTTAAGGGGTCTGCTCGCCAACCTAAACCTCTCCTGGGGCCTCGGCAGGAGGGTTCTCCGTCTCCCAGGCGTCTCCCAGGCTGCACACAGCTCGGCCGGCAGGATCGGTACCGGCCGGGAGACCTGGGGCGCAGCCAGGGGACCCGGTGGGTTTGGTTCCAGGACACCACAGCAAGGCCAGTGTCGCAATAAAGCCGGCGGAACCTTTTTGCAGGTGGAGGGCCTTGCCTTTGTAAGAAATGCAACAGCCGAAGCGCCACAAGCGAGGGCAGCCGAGGGAGAGACGCCTGCCTGGCCCAGGCAGCGCTTAGACGGGAAAAGGCTCCATGTCAAACGCGTACAATGTCACCTTTACAACTTGCAACGCAAATGGATGAGGACAGTCGTGTTGTTGCTCTCCCTTCCCAGGTGGAGGGGGCTCTAGGAATCCGGAAGCTCAAGTCCTGAACGCTCGAGCCCGCGCACCCCTTCTTTCCCCGTGTACGTTCGCTCTCTACACCCTAAGGGTCCCCACAAGACCTGCAAGCAGGAGGCCCCTCTCCTCCGCCCTTCCGGAGCCAAAGCAGCCGCCTCGGCCTCGGCTCTCTCCTGCGCTGCGTCCATCCTCAGCCCCTCCGTCCGTGTTCCACGGACCCCAGCTTTAATGAACGTCCTCTCAAAAAATAAAAATAATAATAAAAAACGCTGGCTCCAGAGAAGAAATGGGACTCGGCCCAGGAGAGCAGCTGGGCTGGCGCAGGAACCCTGGTCGCTCCCCGCACTGGAGCGGGAGACCCCAAGTTCCAGCCCCGAGGCGGACCAGCAAAGCCCCCCTTAGCACAGTGACTGCGGACCCGCCCTCGGACGGGGCGGGGGGCTGGCTCCGGGGTCCGAGGGCCGTCCCGGGGCCGCGGGGGCCACCCCGACTCCCCTCCCGGACGGAGGCGGCCCCGGCCAAGCGCGGGCGAAAACCAAGGCGCCGGGCTCCACTGCCGACGCGCCTTCCGGAGAGATTCGTGTCGGCACAGCCGCCGCCGGTGGGAGGAAGGCCCGGAGGACGGTGTCCCCCCCAAAAGGAGGAAACTGAGGCCGGGCGAGGCCCGCGACAGTGCGACGCTGGGCAGCAGCAAAGGCAGCGCTCGAACCCAGGTCCCGGAACTCCCAGCCCGGGCTCTCACCCCCGAACCACGGTGGGACGCAGCGGAGTCTGGGGTCTCCGAGGCCCGCCTCGGCCACCCAGCGGCCGTTCTCGAGGGTCCCAGGTGAACTGAGACAGAACAGCAGCGAGACCCGCACGCACCGGGCACCACGGCCCTGGATAGCCTGGCAAAACCGCGTCGACCATTTAAAGGATCAGGGCACTTCCGGTCGCGCGCGGGGCCGCCTGGGAAATGAAGTCCGGAGTCGCCCTCTCCTCGCGCGCCAAGCAGCTGATTCCCCCGCCGCCTCCGCCGCGGGCGCCCCACCCCCATCCCCAAGCCCGGGGACCCCGGGGCCGGCAACGCCGTCGCGGGCCCGCCCTGCCCCTCACTCCCCGCCCTTCACTCCCCGAAATGTTCGGGCCCAGCGAAACCCCCGCCAGGGGCTGGCGCTCAGCAAGGCCACGCGGAGGGGCGGGCCCAGGAAAGGGGGGCCCCCAACATGGCCACCCGGCCGTCCACAGAGCGGGCCGAGGAAACCTCCGCCTCCACTTCCGGAATTTGAACCGGTTTCCGGAAGCCAGGACGGTGTCTCCATGACAACCGACGTTGGGGCGGGAGGTGCGCTGCTTGAGGACTAGCAGAGAAAGTGTCCGGAAGCCGGCGCCTTGTTGTTGTTTGGGTTTTGGCTTCTTGCCAAGGCAGCCCCGTTGTTAAAGCGGCTTCGGGGAGGCGAGGGGGCGTGCCCCGGGGCAAAGGGAGCGGCGGGCGGCGGCATCCCGGCTCCACTCCCCGGCCCGCTGGCCGGTGTCCTGAACTCTGACCTGCAGGACGGGGATCGTGCTTTCCCGCCTTCAGAGGAGCTGCAGGGGTAGAGGGAGCTGCCTCGGTGCTGGTGAGTACGCGATAACTACCAGTATCTGATGAAGGAGGAAGCTGGGCGCAGAGAAACCACGTTCCTGCCCGCAGCAGGCGGGCCTTCAGCAGGCGAGCTGGGCGCGGCTCCTGACCCCTCAGCCTCTGAGATGCGGGTACACGCCCGCTAACGGCTGCTGCGCAGGCGGTGTGGGATGAAACAAAGTAAGTCTGGAAAGAGTTGTACATTGTAAAGCATTTTACAGATGTTAATTCAATCTCAATCTCTAACACCTCAAAACACTTTAAAAAAGTATATTTTTATTGATTTCAGGGAGGGAGAGAGAGAAACATCAGTGATGACTCAATAACCAATCGGCTGCCTCCTGCCCGCCCCACACTGGAGATCCAGCCCGCAACCCGGGCCTGTGCCCTGACCAGGAATCAAGCCATGACCTCCTGGTTCATAGGTCGAAGCTTAACCACTGAGCCACTGTGGCCGGGCCACCTCAAAGCATTTTGAAATTTGTCCATAAATTTAATCCAGATAGAGTGGTCACGGACACCCCCAGAGCAACTTCTGGGTCTTGTCATATCCTCCTATATAATAAAAGGCTACTAAGCAAATCAACCGGACAGCAGAACAGCCGGTTGCTGTGACATGCACTGACCACCAGGGGGCAGACGCTCAGCACAGGAGCTGCCCTCTGGTCGTCAGCGTCCTCCCACAGGGGGAGCACCGCTCAGCCAGAAGCCCTGAGCCGGGCACATGGCTGGTGAGCGCAGTGCGGACATCCCCTGAGGGCTCCCGGACTACAAGAGGGCACAGGCTGGGCTGAGGGACCCCCGCATTTCGTGCACTGGGCCTCTAGTATGGGAATAAAGGCCCAGCTTCCATTCCCTGGTGCCCACTGTGTTGCTCCCATAAGCTTACACGCAGTTCTGCGGGAGAGCACCGTCTCCCCTCCGCTTTTTCTGCCTGCGCCACTTCCCACTTCTCCTGTGCCAACGTGTTCCCGCCTGGTTCCATTTCGGCCTGTCAGTAATGTAAGACACCGCTTTGTGCAATAGGTGAGAGCACCCAGACCAGACTGCCTGGATCCGAATCCCAGCTCTGCCGCTTTCTAGCAGTGTGACCTTGGACAGATTAGTTCATCTCTCTGGACCTCAGTTGTCCCATCTGTAAAATGGGGAGTATCTTCTACTTCGTGAGATTTAAACAATAGGAGTGCTTAGACTGGTCCCAGCACACATGTAAAGGATTGCAGCCGCAGTAAGTATCAGTATTAGAATCGGTATTATTACGCGACCAGACACTCGTGTGCTCCTGGAGCCCTTTGGCCTCAAAGTGGTTGAAAGAGTTCTGAGTGTCCAGGTTCCCAGCATGGAGCACGGGGGAAGGGTAGGGTGAGGTGCCCGGAGGGAGTGCCTCCCCGGGGTTTGTTGGTGGGGGTGGTTTTGTTCACTGCTGTATCCAAGCACCTAGCGTGGTGCCTGGCCCATAATACAGGGTGTCCCAAAATTCACGCAAGAAGTAATGTTGATAGAAAACACAGGTTTATAATTAAAAATTGTAAATTTTTTATTGCTTCATAAAGTATACAGTATAGGGTTATGTATGGAATAGCATATCGGGTAAATGCCCTCCACGGCTTTGCTGGCACATACGCACACTTTTGTTGAAATTTTCCATGACCATTTTGCATAAATGTGGCTGAATTTCGATGAGGCTCATTTTTATCTTGATGGCTTGGTTAATCGACAAAATTGTCGCATTTGGGGCTCAGAAAATCCACGAGTGATTGTTGAGAAACAAATGCATCCACAACGTGTCACTGTTTGGTGTGAATTTTGGGCTGGAGGCATCATCAGACCATTCTTCTTCTTCGAAAATGCGGCTGCTCAGGCAGTAACAAAAGAGTGCGTATGTGCCAGCAAAGCCGTGGAGGCCATTTACCCGAAATGCTATTCCATACATAACCCTATCCTGTATACTGTATGAATCCATCAAAAGTTTACAATTTTTAATTATAAACCTGTGTTTTCTATCAAAATTACTTCTCGCGTGAATTTTGGGACACCCTTTAGGTCCTCGGGAAATAGTCATTGTATTCATGAACTTTTAACCACTTTTTTTTTTTTGCCCCAACAGGCTCTTGTCTTAGAGTAAAAGAAACAGCTCTGCTTCTTCTCCCTGGGCGCCGGGCGAGTCGGGTGCTTCCTGGGGGACGTGGAATGCGCCCTCGGCGGCCGAGAGCAGAGGAAGATGCTGCAGGCCAGCGGCTACAGCCTGGTGCTCTGCCTGCAGCTCCTGCTGCTGACCTATGACCTCTTTGTCAACTCCTTCTCGGAGCTGCTCCGCGCGGTGCCCGTCATCCAGCTGGTGCTGTTCATGTGAGTTCAGGGGGTGGGACTGACAGCCAGCCACACGCAGCGTGAGGCCGGCACAGTCAGGCCTTAAGAGTGACTAATAGGGAATCTGAGGAAGGAAGTACGAGGACCAGGGAGACGCCACAGTCCTGCTTCTCTCCCTCTGACAAGGGCCTGGGACACGGGAGCAGTTCACATAGACACGGTCCGACTGCTCACCCTGTCACTTTCTGCATCTGTGAGCAGAAATACTGCCTCCTGTGGCCATGAGGAGGATGGCAAGATGGCAGGCTAAAGGGCAATTGTATTCATAAAATACGTGACTCTCGCACGATGGAAGCCGATGGAAGCCGATGGACGCCGTCGGCATTTCCCTTCACAATGACATGTGGAGACTCCACGAGGCCGTTCCGGGGGAAAGTGCAGTCCTAGGCGTGACCGCCCTCCATGCAGCAGTGCCCTGGCCTGCAGACGGCGCGCTCGTCACAGTGGCCACCCCCACCTCCTGCTCCCGTGGAGTTCCCTTCTGGTGGAGAGGGAATGTACATATTTTAAAAGGGTCATTTCAACTAGTGATGTGTCCTGCAGGACATGCAGTAGCTGGGGAGGGGCGGGAGGGAAGGGCCCCTTTGGCTAATGGCGCGGAGGGAAGTCTTTGTGAAGAGGGACACCTGAACTGAGACTTGGGCGGCCCTGAGGCACAGCCGTGCAAAGATCAGCAGGCGCTTTGCCGTCTGGATGGGAGCGTCTGCTAGGACAGGCTGTGTGCCCGGCATGGCGGCTCTGGACAGAAGGAGGGACTAGCTGCCCACAGCGCCCAGAGGCTCCTGGAGGGAAGCGTGTCAGCAGGACGCCTTGTCTGTGGCTGCAACTAGCTGCGCGGCCAGTGGGAGCCTTAGCTTCATCTCATTTGGGGCCAGAGCGCATGCTCCCTCGGGGGGCTTCGGAGGACGGGGTCACAGGGGAGGACAGCGTCTGGGTGCCCCTTGGGACCCAGCGCAGCGCGTCCCTCACGGCCGCCCCGTGGCTGTGCTTTGTTGCATTTGCCTGCAGCATCCAGGACATCGCGATCCTCTTCAACATCATCGTCATCTTCCTCATGTTCTTCAACACGTTCGTCTTCCAGGCCGGCCTGGTCAGCCTTCTGTTCCACAAGTTCAAGGGGACCATCGTCCTGGCGGCCGTGTACTTCGCCCTCAGCATCGCCCTCCACGTCTGGGTCATGGTGAGCGGGGAGCTGCGAACCTCTGAATCCTTAAAGGGCCAGGAATAGCTTTCCTCGGGGGCGGCATCATTCTCGCACATCGCCCGGACCCTGGAGCAGAAAGGGGAAGGGAGTGTGGCCGGGACTAGGGTATGTGAGTCTCTGAGGCACTTTTGCCCGACCTTCCGTGTTGGAGACCAGCTTCTGGAACATTCAGTTCACCTTCGCCCCAAACAGGTCTCCTGGGTCCAAAACGGGAAGTTGAATCTCATCTGTTTGGGTGGGTGTTGACCCAGGGAATTTATAGGCCCCGGTGTCTCACGGGAAAGAGCCACGCCAGAGTGCTGCTTGCCCGTCTGTGCCTCGGCCCCGCGCCACCGTCGCCCCCGGAGAGCCGACGCCAGGTGCCTCCTCGGCGCTCGATGGGCGCAGAGCCGACGCAGTGTTCGTGGTTCCCGGTTCCTTCCGCCTCACGGGCTTCCTCCCTCGGGTGTCCCGGGGTTTCTCAAGTCGCCTTCTGAGGGCGCATTACAGCCTCCGGGCGTCTGGTCACCTCGGCACTGAAGCCACCTTCTGGGGGGAGGGTGGGGGGAGCCGGCTGTGCCAGGCCGCAGGCGCTTCCTAGAGAAGCTGGTCCCTGCTCTGGGTCCTGGCCGTGTCCTGGGAAGCCCGTGGTTACGCCACGGTGCCCAAGCCCTCATCTGGCAGCCTGAGCCGGAGCTCTTCAAGGACGCAGTGCCCCGAGGCTGCTAGTGTGGCCTTTCTCCGGGCCGGGGCTGTGGGGCGAAGGATAACCAGCGTAGTTCACACCTCCCCCCTCAGCGTTCAAAGGAGATTTGCTTCACAGCAAAAAAGGGCGCTTGAGGCACCTCTGAGGACCCCCACTGGGGGCTGTGGAAAGAGGGTGAGATCAGCCTGACTTTAAACCAGCGGCCGCTGGGCAGCTCACCCAGTTGGAGGCCTTAGGGCCGCTCCTGGCCATTGACCTTCCTGCCCCCCTGTCTCCTGCAGAACTTACGCTGGAAAGACTCCAACCGCTTTGTGTGGACAGAGGGGCTTCAAACGCTGTTTGTGTCCCAGAGGCTAGGTAAGGGCGGCGGCCTCAGGCCCCCGCGGTCCCCCGCGGCTCTGGCGGTGAGGGCCTGGGCCCTGGCTTGTGAGCCCCCACAGCTGGTGGGGGGCGGGGGACAGCCACACCAACAACGGGGCCGCTGCCCGTGCTGCGGAGAGTCCCTGGGCGTCAGGAGGAGGCTGCAGCCTCCTGGGGCTCCGTTCTCGCTGAAGCAAGTCCTCAGGGGCCCGGCCTCCTCCTCTCGCCCCCAGCGGCGGTGTTGTACTGTTACTTCTACAAACGCACGGCCGTGAGACTGGGCGACCCTCGCTTCTACCAGGACTCCGTGTGGCTGCGCAAGGAGTTCACACAAGTCCGAAGGTGACGCGTCACACTGATGGGTGCCTCCTGCCTAGCAGGGGCCACATGTGGATCTGCGAGGGGGACGATGGCCCCGGGCCTGGGACACAACCGACAGGCTCAGGCCAGTTGTGTCCAGCAGCCGAGAAGCAAGATCCTCCCTCTTGTAAACTCAGGTTCCGGTGCAGACTCCAGGCCATGCATAGCCCCCCGGCCCCTCTCGGCTCTGCCCGCTCCTCCCCCCTCTGCTCACAGGGCCCTCAGCTTTATCCGTGGGAACTCCCCGCATCTGCGCTCTGCTCCACATACTAAGGACCAGGCGACACAAAGAGGGGTGTTTCTGTGCTGCTGACTGGCCATGCCTGGGACATTGAGATTCTATGCCCAAAGCCCTTTCTGTTTCTTACGTTTTATAAATAGGGAATAAATGGAAGTTTTTCCAGAAATGGTGGTGTCCGTCGGTCTAGGTCGCTCCCCTTCCTGGTAGGAGGCATGCCAAGTCCCAGCCTCGCCCCGTGGGCAGCTCGGGCCACAGAGCATACACACATAATACAGTTTATCGAGTCCCGTTATGCATACACGATATTTTTGGAGGAATTCAAAATAATGCCCCGCCCCGCCCCACCCCTGGAGCCCAGACTTCTGTGCTTCCTTCAGACTCTGCCCCGTCAGGTCCCTGAACTGCCCTCAGCAGAGCAGACATGTTCCTTAGCCTGTGTTGGCAAAAGACAGTTTTTAAATCCGTGTGCCCAGGGTCTCAGTTGTCTGTTGCCAGAACAGCGTGTGAGGAGCCGCCACCGGATTCAGCACAGACAGCCACAAATGGTCACGCGGCTCTTGAGGCGGGTTCAGGCGGCCTGGCCGAGTCGGGCGTTTCTGCTGGGCGCGCTCGTGAGTCTGGTCAGCTGTGGGTCAGCCAGGCAGCGTGATGGCCCCGGCCCCGTGGCTCTTGGCTAACCCGGGCTGCCTCCGCCGGGATGACGGGGCTGTTCACTCAGGTTCACATGACTAGCTGAGTCTCTTCACGTGACAGTGGCCGAGGAGCAGGCGAACAAGCCCCCGTGAGCAAGGCCATGTCAAGCCTCTGCTTGTGTTGTGTCTCTTTGACTGCCGTTGGTCAAAGCAGGTCCTGTGACTGTGCCAGGGTCAGAGGGAAAGCAGCACTCAAGTCTCCTGGCAAAAGGCTTGGCTGCAGGCAGGGCCGTTCGTCAGGCCACCCCCCAGGAAGGGGCTCCGTGAGACTTGTTATCCGTAGGCACCAGCACAAGGTCCTTTGGTGAGGGGCCAGGGAGTAAATATTTTCAGTTTGAGGGCCATGGGGTCTGCTGCAGCGACTCGACATTATGCAGGAGAGCAGCCACAGCTGACGCAGGAACGAATGCACACAGCTGTGCTCCGGCGACACTATTTTAGGACGTGAAATTTGAATTTCATATTTGCATGTGTCATAAAATTTTTTTCAACGATGTAAAAAGGTCGTTCTATTCTTAGCTTGAGGATGCAAAGCCAGCTGATCCCAGCCCGGGTACTCAGGCTGGATTTGCCCGGCCATCGTGTGCTGACGCCCGTGTGGAAGCCTAGAATGACGCTGTGAGGAGAGACCGGCAATAACCTGCTGTGCTGTCAACACTAACATCTAAAAAGAAAAGGTGCAGCCGGCCGGTGTGGCTCAGTGGTTGAGTGTTGTCCCCTGCACCAGAGGCCACCCGCTGGACTCCCGGTCAGGGCACTCGTCCATCCCAGAAGGGGGCGTGCAGGAGGCAGCCGACCCATATTTCTCTCCCTCTCCTTTCCTCTCTCAAAGCAAAAGATTTTTTAAAAAGGTACAATGCCCAAACACATCATCTAAGATCCATATCCTATAGTCAGAAAAAGTGATCTAAAAACTCCTAACAAAGCCGCCATCTACACCTACTATCCCTTCGATACAAAAAATAATTAATAGCTGATCTTTTCATAAAGGATCTTGCAGAAGTATAATCCCTTTGCTCATTAATATCCTGAAAGGATTGTTCTCTTCCGGTGGAAGCCAGCGAGTGCAACCCAATGCCTGTTTCCTCAAAACACTCACGGCCCTTTGTGGCCCTGAGTCTCTGAGACGTGCACTTCCCTTCACTGCCCAGGCAGAGGGCAGGGCGGCAGCCAGGACACGGCCAGCTGAGCTCATGGCCTCACTGCCGAGGGACAGAGGGGAACCGGGGGGCCCACATGCACACAGTTCACGTGTGAAACGAGTTACGCAGCTAATCTTCCCACGCCTGCATCTCTGCCCCTCCCCCCTTGACAACCGACATTTATTTATGTCCTTCTCATAGACTCTGTAGTATTTCAGAAACATTTTACAAAATAAATTGCCATAATCCTACCCCACTCATGTATTTCAAATCCTCAACTACAGTCAGTCCTCCATATTCATGGGTTCCGCATCCATAGTTCGAACCAACTGCAGATGAAAAATACTGGGGGTGGGGGTGGGGAACACGATAGTTGTCGCTGAGGGTGTTACGCCGTTAGGCCTGTCGTGCCTGACCGCATTGAACAGGTACAGGCTTTTTTCTTGTTCTTGTTCCCTAAACAATACAGGGTAACAACTGTGCACATCGCATTCGCATCGCTGAGGCACTGTGAGCAATCCAGCAATGGCACAGCCACAGGAGTGTGTAGGCTCCGTGCAAACACTATGCCGTCGTATAGAAGGGGATGAGCATCCCTGGGATTGGCGTTTGCCGGGGGTGGGGTCCTGGAACCAGCGCTCGGCAGAACCGAGGGAGGCTGTACGCACATGTGTTCTCCCCACAGCACGGTCACGGTCACCGGGGCTGTGGCGTAACATGGTTTGGGGTTCTGTTGTTTAGCAGTAGGAGTATGTTTTTAAGATACGATGTAAATTGATTCCTTAGGAACAGTCAGCTTTCAAAGCTCCGAGAAAGAAAGTAAACACTTTAAAAGTTCGAGAGGCTTGTAGTCGGGTGGAGTTGCTGCCGGCTGATGGGACGGGGATGGGGAAGTAGAAAAAGCAGATCAGATACAAATGCCGTCTCTTTAAGAGGCCTCAGGGGACTGCTCAGTGAGGCAGGCTGGGGCCTAAGCCCTAAAGGAGGAGAGGCCCAGCCCAGTGCCGACCACCAGCAGGCTTGGCCCCGGGGCACCTGCTGGTTCCGGGCTTGAGCTAGAGGCAGGCATGGCCCCCACGGAGGGCTGCGCCAGGGACCAGGGAAGTCAGCTGAGCTTCGTGGTCTCACTGCTGGAGGGACACGAGAGGGGACGCGGAGGAGCGGGAAGCACGTCACATGACTTCTCCTCGAGATGTTTACCGAATTCTGGAGCTGGGTAGGGACAGAGGCTATAAAAAGCCCAGCCTCAAATCTCTGTAAAGCAGAACGGAAGTGTCGGCAGGCCTATCACGCTGGTGATTAGAACCCGGGGCCGCTGCGGGGGGGGGGGGGGGGGGGGGGGGGCGGGGACACAGGGCTTTCAGGCGAGAGCTCAGGAGGGCTGCTCACTAGGAACTGGAGCTCATCAAAGTCACGGTGCAGCCTCAACCCTCAGGCCCCGAGTGGACTCAGGTGAACAGCCCCCGTTCTGCCTGCCTAGCAGAGGAAAGAAGGGAAGAAAAACACCTAGAGGCACTCTGCTTTCTCCTGCACAATGCCTGGGCATCAGAAAGGCACTAGCACGTCCAGCGATAGGGCTACATTATTGATTATATTTTTTTATTGATTTCAGAGAGAGGAAGGGCTAGGGAGAGAGAGAAACATCAATGATGAGAATCGTTGATTGGCTGCCATCTGCACACCTTCTACTGGGGACTGAACCCAAAACCCAGGCATGTGCCCTGACCGGAAATTGAACCGTGACTTCCTGGTTCATAGGTCCACACTCAATCACTGAGCCACACTGGCTGGGCAGAGAAAGATTTCTTAAAGATACTCCACACACAAAAAAGAAAGAAAGAAAGGCGGCCCTGGCCAGGTAGGTCAGTCGGGTAGAACTTTGTTCCAATACGCCAAGGTTATGGGTTTGATCTCAGGTCAGGGCACATATAGGAATGCATAATAACTCAACAACAAACGATGCTTCTTCTCTCTTTCTCAAACCAATATATATATTTATAAAAAAGAGCCACACTGCCCTAGCCAGTTTGGCTCAGTGGATAGAGCCTCAGCCTGTGGAATGAAGGGTCCCAGGTTCGATCCCCGTCAAGGGCACATGCGGGGGTTGTGGGCTCGATCCCCAGTAGGGGGCGTGCAGGAGGCAGCTGATCAATGATTTTCTCTCATCACTGATGTTTCTCTCCCTCTCCCTTCCTCTCTGAAATCTAAAATATATATAAAAATAAAATAAAAAACAAGGCCACACCTACATACATCACAGTCAAATTATTGAAAGCTAAAGATGAAGAGCAAATCTTGAAAGTGGCAAGAGAAAAACCACACAGCACATACAGAGGTGATAAAAATTAACAACAAATTAACTGAAAACCAGAGGCCTGTGAACAACCCTCCTGGCACAGGTGAGCCACGGCTGGTGGGCAGGTGCGCCAAGGCTGGCAGCTCTGTGTGCAGGAGGCCTGCAGTGTGTGATGCCCGCACGGGGCGTGGCAGGTAATGCGGACCGACCCTCTGGGGAGAAGAGCCAGAGTGGATGAGCTGAGGGAGGGAGCTGGGCACCGCTGTGGGTACAGCCCACGCCAGGGGGCTTTGGGAAAACGGTCCAGGGCATCAGTAAACAAGGCTGAGGGCCAGGTGCGCAGAGGTAGGGAGCTGCGTTGCCCGCGTGCAAGGCCTGGCCTAGGCAGCATCGTGGACAGGAGGACCTGGCCGGCCTCAGCGGGTTGGGAGAACCTGCTCCAGGTGCAGCTGGAGCAGGGCGCCACCTGGTGGCCAGTGGGCCCGGCACCTGCGAGGCTGGTACTTATTGGCGCGCGAGCCAGAAGCAACCAGGGCTTCCGAGGGGAAGAGGAGCCCTTCCCTCCTCCAGTCCGGCCAGTGCCCTCGCGGACAGGGGGGAGGTGCCAAGGCCAGGCCAGCATCGCAGCGCGGGAGCTGAAGGTGAATGTGGAGCCAAGAGGCAAAACGTAGACAACAGAGTCTGGTTTCGCCTGCCCAGCTCCCGTGGGCACCCACACACCTTCGAGCTTCCCTCGAGGTGAATATTCCACCTTTCAAGACAGGACCGTCCTACCGGGGCATTCTCACCCTCTCCCCAAGCGGGACACCTGCCCACTGCTCTCCGGGGGCGGGATCGCTCTGCCCCGTCCCTTCCACGGCGGCCAGCTGGTCACCGCGCTGTCCTTAGTCTGGCGACTCAGATGACCCGGTTTGAGCGCCATCGGCTTCCTCCCCTACCGGACCGACCCAGCACGCTGACAGCAAAGACAGCTCGAGCCCCTCGACACCCTCTCCTTCCTGCTCCCCGCGGCGGGAGCACCTGACTGCTCACCTGCTGAGGCTTCAAAACCCCGTTTGCAGGCGCCTCTTGGGAACCTCTCGCCACTCCCGCGAGTCCTCCGTCCTCTCAGCGACCCCCGCACCGCCCCCCCCCCCCCCCGCGAGCTCCCTGTGGGTCACGTGCTGATCACGTGCTCCGATTTGTGCTCCTTGAAAGGAGCCTCGGGTTCTGGTCCATGTCGGTGCCTTCTAATCACCTGGTACATTCCACGCACAACCCGCCCCCCCGCCCAGGCTGCCCGCTAGACAAACGACCCCTAACCGCACCCCGGCTTGCAGAGCGCCGTCAGGCACACCGCTCCTCCTGTTCAGACGGAAAAGGGAATCGTGGGGCGAGGGTCCTGTGGTCACATGGCCACAACTGACCACTTCAAATATACATATTTTTAAATATATTTTTATTGATTTCAGAGAGGAAGGGAGAGGGACAGAGAGATAGAAGCATCAATGGTAAGAATCAGTGATCGGCTGCCTCCTGCACGCCCCACACTGGGTGGGGCCCAGGCATTGTGCCCTGACTAGGAATTGAACCGGGGTCCCTTCAGTCCGAAGGCCGACGCTCTATCCACTGAGCCACACCAGCTAGAGCAAAATATATATTTTTTATTGATCTAAGTCACAATGGTTCTCAACCTTCCTAATGTCGCGACCCCTTAGTAGTTCCTCATGTTGTGGTGACCCCCAATTTCATTGTTACAAATTGAACATAATTAAAGCACAGTGATTAATCACAAAACAATATGTAACTATATATGTGTTTTCCGATGGTCTTAGACAACCCCGGTGAAAGGGCCGTTCAACCCCCAAAGGGGTTGCGACCCACAGGTTGAGAACCGCTGAAGAGGAAGGGAGAGGGAGAGCGAAACATCGATGACAGAGAATCATGGACCTGCTGCCTCCTGCAGGCCCCCTGCTGGGGATCGAGCCCGCCACCCGGGCATGTGCCCAGACCAGGAATCCAACCGTGACCTCCTGGTTCACAGGCCCACGCTCAACCACTGAGCCACACCGGCGGGCACAACTGACCACTTCAGCCAATGCCTTGTAACTGGGAGGGTGGGGGGCCGGAGCCCGAGAGCTGCCCTGCCCGGGTCCAGCCGACCGCTCCGTGACGACCGCGGTTCCTCAAGTCTCGGTGAGCCCAAGTCCCCAGCCCCCTACTCCCCGCACACACGCCACCAGCACAGACCTCCGGGCCCGCTGACCATAGAGCGCGCCGGCGGGCAGAGGGGCCGGAAGTGGGGGCCGCTCAGTCCCTACTTCCGGTAGCGCCTCGCTGCTCCGGAGCGGCGGCGGCCGCGTATGCAGTTTCCATGGGGACCGAGGATGGCGGCGCGAGGTGAGCTCCGGAGGTGTGTGAGTGGCTCTGCCCCCCAGCCCCCTCTCCCTGGCCTCCCTCCAGCCTCGGCGTTAGGGACCGCCCCGCCCTGTCCGAAGCGGGCTTCGCAGCCCCCCGTCCTGAATGCCGAAGGTCTCGGGGGAGGGGCTCTCAGAGGCCGCCCCGTCCTAGGCTGTGGGATAAGCGCGCTGAGGGACCCCGAAGCAGACAGTGCTGCGCCTGCGCCCACTCTCCCCCCCAGAGCGTGACGGGGTTAGGCCTCCGAGGGGCCGTGACTTCCACCCCCGAAGCCGAGGGTCCAGTTTGACTCCGAGGAAAGAAGGGATTGAAGGGAGTCCCCTCCGCGTCCTATGCCGACACCCCCAGCCCCCCATTGCCAGCCGCCGGAGGGTCCCAAGCGGCCCTTCCCACCGGCTGCGACCTCGTGTTTTCCCAAGTTGGACACACACCAGTCTAAGAGGTCAGCTGCCTCCCGCTCACCCTCCCCTCTGCCCGTCGCTGCAGGTGAACGGCTGTCCTCCACGCCCCTGGAAATCCTCTTCTTTCTCAACGGCTGGTATTATGCCACCTACTTCCTGCTGGAACTCTTCATATTTCTGTATAAAGGTAAGGCATGGGCTTGACTGCCCTTGTCGCCAAATCCCTTCCCGACTTCAGCCCCTTGTCTGCTCCTCCTCCCAGAAAGGCAGGGCATAGCTTCCTGGAGCGCCATTCCTAGGGAGCCTGTCAGCCAATTTCTTGAGTTTGGGGCCCTGGCCAGGTAGGCCAGTTGGTTAGAGCATCGTCCCCACACCGCAGGGTTGCCAGTTCCGTCCCCTGTCAAGGGCACATAAAAGTATCAGCCAATGAATGCATAAATAAATGGAACGACAAATTGATATCTCTCAATCAATAAAATACTTTGAAAAAATAATTTCTTGAGTTTGGGGAATGTGGGCACCTCCATTCCGACCCCCACCTCTCTTTGTGACCTCCACTTTCAGTTTAAGCCCCTGGGTGACTCTCAGAACGACTCAGCAGCCGGTGTACCATGTCCATCTGATCATGTTGGAGAGTGGAGTCCCATAGGCTTTTGGAGTTGGAAGTAAAACTCCGTCATAAGCCCTAGCCGGTTTGGCTCAGTGGATAGAGCGTTGGCCTTCGAACTGCAGGTTCCTGGGTTCGATTCTGGTCAAGGGCACATGCCCAGGTTGCAGACTCGATCCCCAGTAGGGGGTGTGCAGGAGGCAGCCGATCCATGATTCTCTCTCTCCCTCTCCCTTCCTCTCTGAAATCAATAAAAAATATATTTAAAAAAACAACAAAAACTCCACCAGAAGCTTGCCCCTAACAGACACGTTGCCCTGTGAGTTAACTGATCCTGCGTCAGGTTAAATCCTGCCCACATCTCCCCGACCAGCTCGTGGAAAGCTGATAAGACTCTTGTCCTCTTTAATCCCAAGCGCGGGAGTTCCTGTGGGGGCTGTCGTGTTGTTGGCAAACTCCGGCCTTTGTATTGGCAGGTCTCCTGCTACCGTATCCAACAGCCAATCTGGTGCTGGACGTGGCGATGCTGCTCCTCTCCCTCGGAATTGAAGTGATTCGGCTGTTTTTTGGTGAGTGCTGTCCAGAGGGCGTCCCTGTTCCTTAGGAGATGAGCTGGTATCTGTAACTTGATTAACAAGGAAAAGCACAAGCCTGGGCTCACCAGAGATCGGATCTGGCGGCATATCGCGTTCCTCCCTTTCTGAAGTTTCAAACTGCTTTATTTATGTTTTGGGTCAAGACTTGCCTGTCTGTTGCTCTGTAGGGCTAGACGTGGGCAGTCGCAGGAGATATGAGAGAATCCCCTCCCAGTTGCCTAACTACCATAAAGTGCCTGGTTCCTCTTGCCGGTGCCTGGGGAATAGATTGGGCTGTAACGCCATGTTCGGGACAGTGCGTGCCAGTACAGATCAGCGCTCAGTTCCCCTCCGCTTCTCTGAACACGACTTTCCTTCGGACAAGCTTTATATCCCCAGGAATACAGAGCCAATCTCCTACGAGTTAGAATATCTCATCTTTGAAAACGTGTTATAACTCAAAAGAGAAAAAAAAATGCTTGCAATACATTGACAAAGGATAAAGGTGCAGGCGCACATCAACCACTAAGGAAACACAACCTGATTTTTAAAATTGGTTTTAGAGAGAGGAAGGGAGAGAGAGAGAGAAAGCGTCTGGTTGCCTCCGGCACACGCCCCGACCAGAACTGAACCTGCCGCCTTTCGGTGTGTGCGACGACGCTCTGACCAACTGGGCCGCACCTGCCAGGGCAAAGGCAACCGAATTTTAGGAACTGGAAAAGGAAACCAATAGGCAGTTCACAAGGGTAATCACAGAGAACCAGCAAACATGGCAAAATGCCACACTCACTAGTAAATAGAAGTTGAAACGAGAGTATTTTCACCCATCAGGTGAGAAAGGCTCCCACACCCAGTGTGAGAACAGGCATGCGGAACGGGGCCTGTAGTCCCACACTCTCACGGGTACCTATGTCCTCAGACTCTCTGGGAATATAAATTAGTGTATCCTTCTTGCTAATAGTTTCACCTTGTAAAATCTGTATTCTTAGACCTAACAGTTTCACCTCTAAAACTGGTTGAAAAAACAAACACATCCGCAAATATGCAAACGATCTGTCAGAGTGTTTGTTGCCACAGATTGTGTGACATCAAAGCTAGAGACAACCTAAACATCTAGCAACACAGGATCAACTTAATAAATCACAGAATTAGTTCAATGAAACCATTAGAACCATTAAAAAAAGAATAAGGTAACATGTGTGGAGAGAAGTCTAGCTTATTAAATGGGGAACAGTAAGTTGCAAAACAGTCTTAGAGAATGATTGTTTTTATCATAATAACATGAGTACAGACCATACACAAATCTGAAACAGTGTGCATCTAATCATAGCTCTCTCCAGGGAGTGAGCTTGGGTCTTTCTGTATTTTCCAAAATTATTTTCTGTGTATTAGTTGAAAAGTTTTCAATGATTATGTTATTTTTATAATTAAAAGAAATTTCCCCCCAATAAAGATCCAGCGCCCCGTGAACGGGAGCCAGCCTGGCAGCAGGCCCTTTGGGGTGAATGACTCCACGCCTCCGCTTTTACCGCTTTATAAAGCCGCACGTCCCCACGCAGGACCGCTTCCTCTGCCTCGCCAGTCCGCCGCGGCCCGCCCGCCTTTCCTCCGAGCGAGGGAAGGGCTGCTTGGAGGTGACCCCTGCTGTGTCTGACAGGTTCGAAGGGAAACCTCTGCCAGCGAAAGATGCCCCTCGCCATTAGTGTGGCCTTGACCTTCCCATCTGCCCTGATGGCCTCGTATTACCTGCTGCTGCAGACCTACGTGCTCCGCCTGGAAGCCATCATGAACGGCATCTTGCTCCTCTTCTGTGGCTCTGAGCTGCTGCTGGAGGCGCTCACGCTGGCCGCCTTCTCCAGGTTCGTGAGGGACAGTCCCCCCGAGGGCCGGGCTCCCCTGCCACCCTGGGGAGGGATTCACTGGTTTCTGGAGCTGGAGGGGCCTAGTAGACTTTTAAGGGGCAAAGGGTGTCTGTGGGCTGCCTTTCCCATGGAGGGTAGACGTTACCCCTTAGGGAAGAGATACGAGGCAATTCCTGGTTCTTTGGGGCCCGGAGGCTTGGCATCTGGAGCAGTTCAGGCCCCTGCTCTTGCTCACTGGTCTTGTAACACTTGTGTGTCTTTCTCTCTGTCATCAGTGTGGACAGGATTTGAAGTCCAAACATTTCAGCCCGCAGCCCTCCGAGGCTGAGACGCTCGCGCTTCTGGGACTTCAGCCACACCAGCGAGAGAGGGCGGGTCACGTGGTCCGAGGCAGAGTCGCAGCTTCTCCTCAGCACAGACATTTGGGCCACAAACCGAGCATAAGGCCACTGGGCACCGACTAGACAGGACCATCAGCCGGAGAGACTTGTCTACGCTCCAGCACAGGGAGGGGCACGGCGGTCCCCGTCCTGGCCATCCTCAGGCCCGGCTCCTGTTGACCGCCAGTCCTCCTCGCTGACCATCGTGGCCAGAGCATCTCGTGTGGACCATGTGGGCTCCTTGGCTTCCGCAGGGCCTGAGCCACTCCCTACCCCGTGTGCCGTGCCCGCCTGTCCCGCACCAGCACGGAGCTCCAAGGGGCGCAGCCTCCATCCTGCAGGGCCTGAGCGCCAGCCCTTTTTAGTAGCTCAGTGTTATTTTTCTATCCCATCATGACGCAAACATTGTTTTATAATAAATGTGTATTTTCTGTTGTGCGGCCTTTTCCTTGTGGGACCTAGAAATTCACCCTCTCTCGGAGAAGGCAGGCTCTCCCAGCGGCTGCTCCCAGGCTGAGCTCAGGGACCCAGAGGCTCTGCCGGCTTCTATGTCTCCCTCAGGCCTGTCACCCTGCAAAGCCCCCTCACCCCCCCACCCCCACCCCCGCCCAGAGCCAGCGCCTGCCTCTCATCCTCACAGGGATTGCAGCTCCTTTGCAGGGGAGGCGGGAGTAATTGCAAGCAGCATATTCTAAACTTACCAATATTTTAAAATTTCAAATTAACACAAAAGGAGCACATACTTGAATCATCTTTAAAACTTCCCCATCTGCTTGGTAGTGGCCATTTTGTTTTTTAGTCCCAAGAAGTTGCCAGGAGCCATGGCAGAATCCACTACTTTGAGTCAAGGGCCCTTTTGAGACGAATCCTAGAGTAGCTGCTCTTACTCAGAGTAAACCTAACAGGCCTATAAGCAACCCATGATGGTCCCCTCTGCTTACCTCCCGTGATCAGGCCCCTTCTCATCCTGTGCAGGTCCCACTGTCCGACCCACCGAAGCTTTTCCTGTTTTCTATCCCTTCTGTGCCCTGGCCGCCTCACTGCGCTGGGGTCCGTCCAGACACCAGTGGGCAGGTCTCATCAGCCCTGGAACAGAATCAGAAAACCCAGTAGGGACATTCCTGACACTTCAATCACAAACCCCACTAACGTCCTGATGTCCTGTTGCTTCTCACGCTGCTTTCTCTAGCCCTGCTTTGAAGAAAACGCTGGCTTTAAACTGGAGAACTCTCTGTTCATGTAGAGCAATGGTTCTCAACCTCTGGCCCTTTAAATACAGCTCCTCATGTTGTGACCCAACCATAAAATTATTTTCATTGCTACTTCATAACTGTAATGTTGCTACTGTTAGGAATCGTCATGTAAATATCTGATATGCAGGATGGTCTTAGGCGACCCCTGTGAAAGGGTCGTTCGACCGCCAAAGGGGTCGCGACCCACAGGTTGAGAACCGCTGATGTAGAGGGTCCGTGGTTAAGGTCACCCTCCCAGCAGCACAAAGGAATGGAAGGCTCAGGGGAAGTGTAGAGGTAGCTGATAATTCAAAGGGACTTAGAGATCAATTTTCAACCTAATCTGCCACTTTGCAGGCATAGAGATGAGGAAGCAACATCGCCAAGCATCGTGCAACTGGTTACAAACAGCTGGAAACTAGAATCCGTGTCACGAGTTTGAGGCTGAATTCAGTGACTCATCGCTCAGCAGGTACCACCTGAGGGTGAGCGCGCTGGCCGGAAACGGCAGGATTAGAACCAGGAGGCCCCCCTCACCCCGTGGCTGCCTGGAAGCCTAGCGCCCCGTGGTTCCCGGGGGTGGCTCCGTGAGTGCTTGTTCTTCCCAGGCGTGTCGGAGCCACCTGTGGACAGTCACACCGGAGCCGAGCATCAGACAGGCAGCCGAGGATGCGCGCAGCCAGCCTTTCCGGTGAACTGGTCAGAGGCTGCGCTGCTGGCCGCCGTGGGCGCCGGCATCCCGAGACAGTGGCGAGGACCGCGGAGCTGCAGAGGCTGCTGGGATACCCACACGCACGTCTAGACGGTCAGGTGGTGACCGGTGGCCGTCTCTAGGGGCGGAGGTCCGGCCGCACAGGAAGCACTGAGGACACAGCTTCAGATTTCCGCTCCACGGCAGCAGCTTGAGGGAACGAGTGTTCATCCAGTGCCTGGCAGGCTGTTTAGTCCACGCAGCGACCCCGAGGCCGAAGGCAATCAAGTCAGGTGTTAACACGTGTCCCAAGGCATTGAGGTTAAGTAAGAGTTGGAATTTGAACCTAGAGCGGTGGTTCTCGACCTTGGCTGCACATTAGAATCACCTGGGAATCTTTTTAAACTCCTGGTTTCTGGGCCTCATCCTCCGGGAATTCTGTTTCTTTGTTATGGGGAGGGGCCACAACATTGGTTAACAAAGACACAGAATTTCCGGAGGATGAGGCCCAGAAATCAGGATTTTAAAAAGATTCCCAGGTGATTCTAATGTGCAGCCAAGGTTGAGAACCACTGACCTAGAGGTATCCCAAAGGTCAGGCCCCCGTTAATCCTCACCTGAGGATGTTTTCCATTGATTCTGAGAGGGGAAGAGGGAAAGATACAAACATCGATGAGAGAAACACATTGATTGGTTGCCTCCTGCACACGCCCCAACCAGGGCCTGGGCTGGGGAGGAGCCTGCAACTAAGGTATACGCCCTTGATCGGAATCGAACCCGGGACCCACAGGCCGACGCTCTATCCACTGGAGCCAAACCAGCTAGGGCTCAGTACCATTTTAAAAAATCCTCAGCAGAAGGTCTGTTTTACTGATTTTAGAGAGAGGGGGAGAGAAACATTGAGGTGAAAACAGTTTCCTCTCGTATGTGCTGACTGGGAAGTGGACCCACAACCTCTTTGGTGGACAGGACAAGGCTCTCCCTGAGCCAGCCAGCCAGGGTAAGACAGTCCCTCTACACCACCACAGCACTTCCTGGGTGACACGAAGACCATTCTCTCCAGCAGCAGGCATCACACGAGTTTATATACACACCACCTGGGCATAAGTGGGTTCCTAGACTGGGTGTGGATGGGCGCGGGACAGGGACAGGTTGGAACCAAGGCAGCCCCAACTACTTTCTTCCCAAGTTTCAGACCTGCTAGCAAATTTCCCTTCTGCGTAAAGATGCCTCGTTTTGCCCAGCTGTGGTGGCTCAGCAGTTGAGCGTCAACCTATGAACCAGGCCACGGTTCAATTTCTGGTCAGGGCACATGCCGGGGTTGAGGGCTCGATCCCATGTGGGGCGTGCAGGAGGCCGCTGATCAGTAATTCTCATCATTGATGTTCCTATCTCTCCCTCCCTCTCTGAAATCAATAAAAATATATTTTAAAAACATCTCTAAAAAAATTATTTTTACAGATTTCGCCTTTACTGGTCCCAGAGCACACTATACACTGGTTCATCTTGGTCATACAACTCTCCGCGGTTCGCCTGGCTTTTTGACAGCCCAGTTGTCTGGAACCCTAGGATCACACTTCTGCTTCCGAACCTGTACTTCGTAGTTCAGCTCACGATCCATGTCCATTCACATTTCTCTCTGGTTCTTAAAACCTCCGTGTGGAAGGCAGGGCTGCTCTGGCTTTCATCTTGACTGTCCATGGTCAGATCAGTGGATGGAAGGAGGCGCTAGCCATCACCCTCCCACTCCTGGGGACACTTTCCTTCCTGAACTTGACATCAGAACAACTGTCCAAGGGAGGACATTTCTTCTGGGAGTAAATCTTAGGAATCTTGGTGAAGGATGACCTGGACTGTCTTTCACAGACTGTTTCGGTGGCTCAGGAAGGTCTGCACTAGAGGCCTCCTAGGTGCACCACAGGCGACTCCAGCCTCTACATTAGCCCATGCCCATGCCCGACACCTCAACAAATCTATTCAATGCAGATCCACAGAATAGCTCACACCCCATTTATTAAAAATACTTTGTTACAAAAGGAAAAAAATACAATGCAGTATAAAAGATTGACAGCGTCATCAAGTTTATTACACAATTTTCAACCTATCAGAAAGACAAACAGATCACCGACAACAGGGGGACGGGGCCTTGGCCTTTTTGAGGATTGGGTTTTTTTCCTTTTGCTATCAGGAAACAAAACTAAAAATGGTGTCATTGAATAAAAACAAAACAAAAATGGGGAGAAAAAGCTCCCGGGTAAACGGCTTTCCTGCGCTCTATACGTTCCTCACCGTCCCCTTACTGGGTCTCTACGCTGTAGACACAGGAGCTGCTCTCGAGGACACGCCCAGTACCTCGCACTCGGACCGCAGGCAGGGCGCCATGTTCTGAGGCAGCGGTGGGGATGGGACCTGGGACGGGAAAGCAGCTACAACCTGTAGCCTGTCCCAAGGGAATGTGCCTCTCCAGCCGGGGGCCCCGACCTCAGGGACTGGAGGGCTGGGTCAGAAGCGTGCAGGGGAGAGGAGGGTTCAGTTCAACTCAGTCTCTCCCTGAGCCACCAGGGTCTCCACTGACCCTACGCCTCACACGCCACGCCTCACCTCACACGCCACGTCTCGTTAGATGCTGCGTGCCCTCTAGATGCGCAAACAGCACCCACCGCCCCCTGGGCACTGCAGGGCCCTGTGGCTGCTGCCTCCTCAGCAATCAGAACATCACATGTAGATGTTACGGGAAAAGCAATTCCATACGCCAATTCCATGCCGGTGTGGAAAATGGCCCCACGGTGGTCCTTAGAACACGGAGCTCCAAGTCGGGCTCCACTTCTTCCCTGCTCATCAGAGGCAGGAAGTACCTCCGGGCAGAGCACGGGGAGATAGGAGGTCAATAGTCAAACAGTGGGAAGACACCCCACTTGTGACTTTCCCTGTCTGCTAGTGTCAGGTTCCCCCCTAGTAAGTGAAACTGGTACTGGGGGTGCAAGCCCGTGCTTACATCAAACCTGAACACAGAAGCAAGGCGATGGAAGCAGGCCGTGCCCCGCCTGCCGGGCCTCCTCCCATCCTGGCACTGCACCAGGGCTCTGCGCTGCTGAGGTCCGCTGCCCCCACTCCCAGCGGCAATACCTTCCTCTAAAACAAGGAAGCTGCCCTCGGGGGAAGGGCTCCCGTGCGAAATGGTGAAGCCCGGGGAACAGAACACCTGGTAGAGCTGGTTACTGCAAGAGGCAACCAAGCCCTAAGCAGAGCGGGAGGCAGAGGGCGGGCACTGGCTCCGCAGGGCTCCCGGCGGACAGCGCTTCCTGGGCCTGCTCCACAGGAGGCCCCCAGCAGGCAGCGCCCCCTGGGCCTGCTCCACACCCGAGGGCAAGTCCTCGGAGAAGCTGAGCAGCAGGAGCAGGAAGGCGTCCACCTCTGGGAGGCCAGGGAAACAAACCGTCAATCATAAGAAGGAAAAGCAAGAGTAAGAGAAGCTGTTCCTGAATTTCTGTTCTCATGGTCCCTCCTCAAAGGGCTGGGCAGGAAAGGAGTCAGACAAAGTGGTGTTAGCAAGGGGTCTGGACCCTCTTGGCCCCATCAAACCTAGTGCTGAGGGCAGGACCTGGGCACCCCCTGGCGCCCCCACTGCTCTCCTAGATCCCACTGGAAGGACTCCTTTTCTTTGAGAAGGAAGTCTTCCCATGGACCTCACCACTCAACTGCTCCTGGAGAATCAGAAACTCACGTTTCCTTGAACAAAGCACCATTCTCTACGGAGACCAGGGCCTGGACCTGCCTCTTCATGTCTGCCTCCCCTCCCAACCATGCAGTCTTTAGGCTCTCTCCCCCAGCAAACAGGAGGTGTGGGACTGGGAGGGCCGCAGTCTTCAATCCTGTGGGCAGAGGGCATTCCCTGGGTGTCTGGAGGGGAGGGGCTTGGAGGGAAGGGAAGGGGTGGAGCGGCCTCCGTCCTTTAGTCCTGATCGAGGTGAGGAGATGCAAGTCCATTAAAAAACATTTGCTTCCGACCGACTCCTGCAACAAGAACATCAGAAGAGAACACAAGTCAGAGTGACTTTCAGATGAACGGGGGCTTCAGTGACTTCCCAGGGCATTTTCTGAAGTTACAGCATATGAAGTAGGGGATGCAGACAGAGAGAGAATGCAGGCCTGGGAAAGCGAAAGAAAGGACTGTCTGGGGTGTCTGGCACTGTGAATAGTGAGGGACTGGCTGGAGGAGAAGCTACGGGGTAACGAGAAAAAAGTAGTGACATCTTACTGTAAGGTGGGGGGTGGGCAAAGACAATGAAATGAAGTCTCAAAAAGAGACTTTGGCTGGAAAAATGTGGAAATTACAACATTTCAAGCAAAGCTGTTAGAAGGGAACATGGTGAATTTAAATTCTGTTTCAGGAAATCTCTTCTGGGCAAGTCACAGCTTACCTTAAGGGGAGGGGATGGAAATGGGAGGCACATGGTGACACCACCCGTGTACATAACCAAACCCACTAACCTCCGAGCTTCTAAGAGGCCTAACAGAGAGCATGTACTCACACAGGAAACTCAAAGCTTTTCTTCTTTTGAAGCAGCCCTGGTTCAATCAGGATTCTATGAGTATGTGTGTACGCACGCATTCACACACACACGCACACACATTCTCACACATGCATTCTCTTACACACACACATTCACACACACACACACACACACACATAGCCAGAGGTGGTGTAAGTTGTACTGAAACTCAAGAAATGTTTAAGTCTTTCCCCAGATGACAGCTGTGGGTGAGGGGCCAAGCAGCACAGTAACCCCCAGCTGCAATGACCTGGCCAGGCCAGGCCACAAAGAGCACAGAAGTTAAGGCAATAACCAGCAGTCACCATCCAAGAAGCGTAAGAGCCCAGTGAAGGACCTCTGCCGAACAGTAAGACACTCTTCAGCCATTTGTCACATCTCCACCTAACTGAAGGCCCCTCGTCCGCTCAGCCCTTGTTCTCATGGCACAATACTAATTTGCAGGGGGAGCTTGGTGAACCTGATCATCCTATACAATAAAAGGCTAATATGCTAATTGACCGAACGGCAGAACCACCGGTCGCTATGATGTGCAATGACCATCAGGGTGCAGATGCTCAACGCAGGGGGAGCGCTGCTCAGCCGGAAGCCGGGCTCACAGCTGGCGAGTGCAGCCTTGGTGGCGGGAGCCTCTCCTGCCTCTGCAGCAGCACTAAGGATGTCCAACTGCTGTCTTAGGCCCAAGGGAAGCAGACCTAAGCCATCACCTGGCCATCCCCCAAGGGCTCCTGGACTGCTAGAGGGCGCAGGGCGGGCTGAGGGGACCACCCTCTCTCAAGTGCATGAATTCCGTGCACCGGGCCTCTAGTATAATATAGAAACAATAGCTAAATGAAAAAGGGGGGATTAAAGTCAGGCTTAGAATTTCACTAATACACAAACGCTCACCCTTTATGTATGCACTTGTGTATGCTGAAGGAGCTACACAGAAAACAAGACACCCCCAAGCTGTGTGATCCTTCTACTCCGAAACAGCAGTTTCAGCCCCAGAATCAGGTGTGGCCTCTCTCCTCTGGCTTCTCCAAACACCTCCGCAGGCAGGTTTTGTCCCATTTTCTGTGGGGAAAACTGAAGCCTTCGATGCTTTCTCAATGTCACACCATTCGGGCTTCTGAATATTTGCACTGGATCAAAATTGAACAGAAAGCCCAGTTTCCACTGAACCAGGAGGATAGCAATGAGGTGAGAATGATTAACATCAAATAGGAGAAGGTTCTAAAATAATGAGGCAAGAGCTGAGAACCACAAAAGTAAAAACCACTGATAGAAGAATACCCTAAAATTCCAAACCACACACACACACACCCTGAAAGAAATGTGCTTTGGGAACTGTCCCTACAGAACAAGATGCAGAGGATAACTAGTGCATCAGCTGAAATAAACCACAGCGCCCAGTTCTTAAGAGAGTACGGCTACATTTTGGTGATAATGTTTGAACGCAGACAGAGCGAGAGTCCTGCAGTGGGGCAATCAGACTCCACGCCCAGAGGCAGCGCCTGTACTGAGGAAGAGGGTTGCTGACCTATTGCCGATGCTTGATACAACACACTTTTTGCTCAGAGAACACCCGTTTGCACAATATAAATACTATTATTTTCTTAAAAAAAAAAAAAAAAAAGAATAGCTACCATTTATAAAGTAGGCACTTTTTTTTAAATTGACTTCAGAGAGGGGAGATTGAAACCTTTTTTTAAAATTGTCTTGGAGAGGGGGAGAGGAATAGAAACTTCGATGAGAGAGAATCATTGATTGGCTGTCTCCTGCATGACCCCTACTGGGGATTCGAACCCACAATCTGAAAATGTACCCTAACCAGGAATTGAACCCTAACCTCCTGGTTCATGGGACAATGCTCAACCACTGAGCCACACTGGCTGGGCACTATTATTTTCTAACTAAAAAATATTTACATAGAGTTTGCAAAGTTCTTGAGATAAATGAGGCCCACGCACCATCTGCCCAACATGAAATCTCCTAAGTCATAACTTGGTAACTACAGAGGGAATTACGAGCCATTAGGACAGTGGTTCTCAACCTGTGGGTCACGACCTCTTTGGCGGTCAAACGACCCTTTCACAGGGGTCGCCTAGGACCATCCTGCATATCAGATACTTACATGACGATTCATAACAGTAGCAACATGACAGTTATGAAGTAGCAACGAAAATAATTTTATGGTTGGGTCACACCATGAGGAGCTGTATTTAAAGGGCCAGAAGGTTGAGAACCACTGCGTTAGGATGAGCATGAGAAACTGACATTGTTAGGGTGTCTGATTCCGTTCTCTTGGATTAAATTATTGGTTGGATGGAGTAACCAACATAAGAGAAATTGGGGGATTGAAACCTCCTCAGAGTTCACTTTCCTCATCTTGTCAAACATGCCTGCACCAGCCCAATGCCTGTTTTCTGGGACCCAGTGGGTCACAGGATTTTTCAGTTATTCCAACTGAATCATCTGCGTACTGGGGAAAAACAGCCCTATTTTATAGCTGGAAGAAATGAAGCAAAATGACAGTTAAAATCTCAGGTTCAGCCTTAGCCGGTTTGGCTCAGTGGATAGCACATCAGCCTGCAGACTGAAGGGTCCCAGGTTTGATTCTGGTCAAGGGCACATGCCCAGGTTGCAGGCTCGATCCTCAGTGTGGGGTGTGCAGGAGGCAGCCGATCAAGGATTCTCTCTCATCACTGATGTTTCTCTCTCTCTCTCTCTCTCTCTCTCTCTCTCTCTCTCTCTCCCTCTCCCTCTCCCTCTCCCTCTCCCTTCTGCTCTGAAATCAGTAAAAATACGTTTTTAAACATTAGCCTGCGATATGTGGTCATGTAATGAACTCCCCGCAATGCTGTGGCAGGACCAGACCAAATGGTTTTGCAGGCCCGTGTGGCCTACAGGCTGGATGCTCCCCACCCTCGCCTTTAGACCAAGCGTGTCAAACTCGCAGCCGTCATGCCACATGCCTCGCTCTGGATCCAACCAAGCCGAACTCAATGTTCCAATTACCTGAGTTCGTGTGGTTCCCCCACCCCAACTCTCCTGCTTTTGTTTTGCTTTAAAAAAAGAAAAAAATACGTTTTTTCCCTAAACAAATATATCCTTCCATTGAAGTATCCTCCACAGTCTCCAAAGCTATTACAATTTCTTCAGGTCAGCTTTCTTCTCTTTGAAAAAAGTATCTTGATTTTCAAAATCTTTTTAGTAGACAATTTTTAAAAGCATTAATGTTGCACTGTTAAACAAATAAGCAGGCAATGGTTTCACTTTTCTGTATTGGTCAACTTCCCCAATTTTCTACCTGAAAGTTTGGTGGGGTTAATGCATAGCAATGCTGATGACACGGCTATCATTTATTGAGAGCTTGCTATGTAACAGGTATATGAGTGCTAACTGCCTATGGATCACCTCACTGAACACTCAGCAATCTAATGAGACAACTGCTTTTCTTACCTCCATTCAAAAAGTGAGAAATTGTGGAACAGAAAGCAATACGGCCGGAGGAGTGGGAGTCACTCTGGCACTGCCCGCAGACACTGCTCTTAGTTAGCCATTATGCCTGCTGCGTCAGATACCAGGCAAGGCAGCCAAGAAACAAACAAAAAATATCTTAATCTCAGGCCCATCTCAGTGTGAGACTCCTAACAAGCGGGAAATTTGCCCTCCTGGATTTTCAGTTCCTAAACCGAAAGCCCGCCCATTGCCTTTATTTGCTCTAAAAGAGCCCTGGCTGGTACTGGAGCATCATCCCCACAGGCCACAACTGTGGGTTCAAGCCCCGGTCAGGGCACACGTAAGAAACAATCAACGAATGCATAAGTGGAACAACAAACGACGTTTCTCTCTCCCCCTTCCTCTCTCTCAAATCAATAAATATAAAAATAACACACAAAAAGAGAAAAGCCTTCCGTCAGTAATTTTCTCTCATAAAGGACCGTCCGCCAGGCAAGAACGGGGCTGCGTCCCACCTTTCTCAGTGGTGCCGGTCCCGCTCTCTGTCCCGGTGCCTCTCGTGCTCCCGGTTCCTTTCTTGGAAATAGTCGTCATGCCGGTCCTCGTTGTGGAGCAGGTCCCGGTGCCTCCTGCTGCTCTCCCGGGACCGGCTAGGTGACCTCTCTCGGGACCGATGCCTTTTCCTGTTAGAAAGATCCTTGAGCCGCGCTCAGAGGGCCGACCACACTGCTTCCCTACGTGCTGTGCTCCGGCCTTGTCTACACCTGCCTCGTCTACACCTGCCTTCTGCTCTATCACGGACCCACTGTCTGACAGTGTGGGTCCTCTGAGGACCAGTCATCTTTGGGAAAATGACAACAGTTAAACCTGCTGAGATCTTACTAATATATCAGGCACAGTGCTCAGAGCTGTCCATGCATCGTCTCACCTGATCTTTACACGTCTGTAAGATTAGTATTACTATAGCCCCCGCCCCCTTTTTTGAGAAAAATGAGACTTGGAAAGTTGAGTAATTCCATTCTCAAGGTCACACACAGAGTTAGGCGCAGAACTGGGATTCAAATCCAAGCATGGGTGGCTCCAACGCCCATGTTCTGGGCTATTCCAGTCTATCTTTTCCCCGAAATAAACCCACTGCCTCAGCTAACATGCGAACAGTTATTATTGCACATGTGAGGGTAATTTCTTCCCCTTGAAATACGAGGGCTTGGTCTGCTCCTTCAGCCAGGGCCTTGCCAGACCCCCCGGCTCCTTCCCTCCCCCTGCCAATCCCTGAAGAGTGCTGCTCAGGGCTGGCCGCCACTGGAGCAGCCATCAACTCACCTGGACGAGCTCCCGCTGGCACCCACGCTGTAGGACTTGGCTTCAATGCCATGAAGACAGTCCTTAAGGGAGGAGATGAGGACACGGCAACGCTCGTCATTGGCGACCCGGGACTGTTTGATAACAGCTATGGCCGTGAGCAGCGTCTCGATCGCGTCACTGTAATCCCCTGACGGGAAGGATGGGAAAGGCCAAGGGTGAGCAGAGGCAGGAAACTAGACAAAGGAGACCTCAGGACACAAACAAGAGCCACTAGCTGCCCCACAGCCCCACAGCCCCACAGTGAACAGAAGAGGCGGGAGTGGAGGTGTAAACTAGATGGTACCTATGTTCCAATGTCTGCAGTCACAGACGTTCTCAGAGGCCGCTAGTGGATGTATAAACTGGCGCAGCACTGTCTGAGGGCTGTTTGACAACATCCATTGAAATAAACAATGTGCATACCTTTGACCCAGGAATTCTAAAAATTTTCTACTTCTATTTACAACTGTGGATAAGTTTAATCACGGTTGTTTCAGTGTTGTTTGCTGTGTTAAAGAATTAGAAACAGGAGAACCAAGATGGCGGCATAGGTTAACGCCGGAGTTTGCTGCCTTGAACAACTACTTCAAAAGTGAAACTAAAAGACGGAACGGACATCACCCAGAACCACAGGAACGCTGGCTGAGTGGAAGTCCTACAACTAGGAGGAAAGAGCAATGCATACGGACACTCAGAGGAGGCACAGTGCTGAAGTCAAATTCTGAGGTTCGGAGTGCACGGAGCGGGCTGGCGGCGGAGGGCGCAGTTGGCGTTTTCAATCGGGAGGGAGTCGCAGACTCTGAGCTCCAGATACAGGCGAGTCTTTAGGGACCCAGACTCAAACGGGAGAAGCGGGACTGTCTGGCTTCGGTCAGAGCGAGTGCAGCTTTCTCTCTGAGGTTTGCAGCGGGTGCTGGGACTCAGAGAGGCAGAGCCCCTGGGAACAGGACTGAGAGCAGCCATAACTGCTCTCTCCGGCCCACCCTGTTGATCCTGTGCGACCCGCCCCACCCAAGCCCTGCACACAGGCATTTGCCGGATAGCCTCAGGCAAAGGCTAGATTAGCACCTCCCTAGAGGACAGAAGTTCTCTCACTGCAGACACAGCTGATTCTCATAGCCACTTGGCCTGGAGGTCAAACCCTCCCTGGTATTAGCTACAACAATCAAGGTTTAACTATAAGACTGCGCACAAAGACCACTAGGGGGTGCACCAAGGAAGCATAACAAAATGCGGAGACAAAGAAACAGGACAAAATTGTCGATGGAAGATATAGAGTTCAGAACCACACTTTTAAGGTCTCTCAAGAACTGTTTAGAAGCCGCTGATAAACTTAATGAGATCTACAAGAAAACTAATGAGACCCTCGATGTTATATTGGGGAACCAACTAGAAATTAAGCATACACGGACTGAAATAACGAATATTATACAGACTCCCGACAGCAGACCAGAGGAGCGCAAGAATCAAGTCAATGATTTGAAATGCGAGGAAGCAAAAAACACCCAACCGGAAAAGCAAAATGAAAAAAGAATCCAAAAATGCGAGGATAGTGTAAGGAGCCTCTGGGACAGCTTCAAGCGTACCAACATCAGAATTATAGGAGTGCCAGAAGATGAGACAGCAAGATATTGAAAACCTATTTGAAGAAATAATGACAGAAAACTTCCCCCACCTGGTGAAAGAAATGGACTTACAGGTCCAAGAAGCGCGGAGAACCCCAAACAAAAGGAATCCAAAGAGGACCACACTAAGACACATCATAATTAAAATGCCAAGAGCAAAAGATAAAGAGAGAATCTTAAAAACAGCAAGAGAAAGAAACTCAGTTACCTACAAGGGAATACCCATACAACTGTCAGCTGATTTCTCAACAGAAACTTTGCAGGCCAGAAGGGAGTGGCAAGAAATATTCAAAGTGATGAATACCAAGAACCTACAACCAAGATTATTTTATCCAGCAAAGCTATCATTCAGAATTGAAGGTCAGATAAAGAGCTTCACAGATAAGGAAAAGCTAAAGGAGTTCATCACCACCAAACCAGGATTATATGAAATGCTGAAAGGTATCCTTTAAGAAGTGGAAGAGGAAGAAAAAGGTAAAGATACAAATTATGAACAACAAATATGCATCTATCAACAAGTGAATCTAAGAATCAAGTGAATAAATAATCTGATGAACAGAATGAACTGGTGATTATAATAGAATCAGGGACATAGAAAGGGAATGGACTGACCATTCTTGGGGGGGAAAGGGGTGTGGGAGATGCGGGAAGAGACTGGACAAAAATCGTGCACCTATGGATGAGGACAGTGGGTGGGGAGTGAGGGCGGAGGGTGGGGCGGGAACTGGGAGGAGGGGAGTTATGGGGGGAAAAAAGAGGAACAAATGTAATAATCTGAACAATAAAGATTTAATTAAAAAAAAAAAAAAGAATTAGAAACAACCTGAAGTTCCTTCAACAGGGTCTGGCTACATAATTATCCATCAGTGGTTCCACAGACTACTACGTGGTTGTTAAAAAGCATGAGGTCAACTTGTATGTGAACAAAGGAAGCAATGTAAAGCGCTTAGTACAGTGCCAGGCACAAGGTAAGGGCTTAGTAAATGCCATTATTTCACACGATGTAACAGACGTGCAGAATATATTAATTTGAAGTTACAAGACAGTATTTCATTTTTGTAAAAACAATAAAATTACATATATGTTGTTATATGCACAAACACACATATGGAGGATAGACACAAACTATAAAAGGCAGACTTGTAAGGGGGCCCATGCAGAGGACTTTATTAACACTGCATATCTGACTAAACTGTCTTAAATTTATCATCAGACGTATGTATACATACATGTAATGTATATCTAAAACGTATATAGCATGCATACATACACATATGCGTATTTTAAATTTTTACCTCTTTGTTTATTTAAATTATGCTACCACCAAGAATTAGTCCCTTCACTCCCCAAATCTGAGCAATGCCTGGCAGGGAAAGTGGTCACAGGGTGGGGACTTGCACAAATGTTGTTTTCTTTTTAATTATTTTTTAAAAATATTTTTAAAAATTGATTTCAGAGAGGGAGAGCGAGCGAGAGAGAGATAGAAACATCAATGATGAGAGAGAATCATTGATTGGCTGCCTCCTGCACGTCCCCTACTGGGGATCAAGCCCGCAACCTGGGCATGTGCCCTTGACCGGAATCGAACCTGGGACCTTTCAGTCTGCAGGCCAATGCTCTATCCACTGAGCCAAGCCAGCTAGGACCACAAAGCTTTTCTGAGCTACGTTAGGAGCAGTAAGGACAGAAGGTAATGCAAGGAACGCAGGAGACCAGACAAGGTCCAGGGATAACGAGGACTGGCAGCTCCTCGGCACAGGCAGGAAGAATAAAACAAAAGCTGGAGGAGTCCAGGCACCAGGAGGCCAGCTCGGCCAGGGAAGGACGTTTCTGCCCATTTTACAGGCTTCCAATAAATAGTTGTGGTTTGAATGACTGGAATGAGAACAGAAATAGAGGGAGACAGATCTGGTTTTTGTTCATCTTGGAATGAAGGAACTGGTGGAGAACAATGACTATTTTCATTCTAGTCCTATGTATATCTGACTTGTTGCACTGAGCAGGTTACTTTTAATTTAAGAAGATTTATTCAGATGCCAATGAAGATTTTCTGGAGGGAAAAATAAAAAGAGAATATGTATACTTCCTGTCTTTAACCTACTCTGTGGATTTAAATTTTGCAGCCAAAGCTGAGAAATTATGGAAAATAGATAATACTTAGGGTTAACTTGGAAATTGGATAGTCTACATTTACATTCACGTGAATATGGCTAATGTCATAAAGTGAAACTTGGACCAGAACCTTGAAACTTCCTGTGTCATCTCCTTTTAGAAACCAAAGGTTCTCAGGAGTCACGGCTTCTGGCGATGCCCACTCAATACTGACATGGCTCCTGGGTCGACGCTCGACCACTTAGCCACACCGGCCGGGCCAGCCGTGCCTTCCGAGAACCTAACGGTTGAGAACCTAACGGTGCTCCAATTTTATCTGGTTGAATTTCTTGCCAATGGAAATGACTAGGCCTGGAGACATGGGAAAACAGAAGGCAAGGAGAAGGCAGCAAAGGGGAGAGTTCGTTACCTGCACTGGCTCCAGCTACTGCTTTGGAAATGGCACTGCTGGAAATTGCTCTGTTTCGCTTCATGATCTCTTCAAATTCTGCTTCACTCACTGTAGAGGGCGGAGGGCCCGAGTCCCGGCTGCACAGAAGCAATACCAGCCTGACTGCCACACCCCGGATCGTCTTTACCACCCTCTGTCATACCACGCTCTGAACGATGCTCTCCTGTGTCATTTCTTACATGGTCTCTGCCTGGTCAGTGTTTGTGTGTTCATGTTCTCCTCAAAGACAGGATTTACGTCCTAGACTTGGATAATTCTGGCATGACCCAACAACAGTGCTAGACATTCACAGCCTAACAGCCACCTAGGTTACTCTTTTTAATTAAGCCCCTTAAAAAGGGATACAAAGGACATGGTTTGGGTCAAGAAGTAAGATGCAAACAAAGCATCAAATAAAAACATTATCTAATAGATAAGAATTTCCCAGGACTCAACACTATGACTACAGTTTCCCACAAGCACAGAATTCAGTGCTCACTTCCTCCTCGGAGGGAAAACACCTCACTGTCCACCCTATTACACCTGGCTCAGCTGTGAAAGGAACAAGGTAGTTCTTACCTGCCGTGGTGGTTATAGGGGGCCGAGGCCTTCATGTATGTATCTGGTGGAGGCCCCACTGTAGCATTTGGTGGGGGGAAGAAGGCTGGGTTGAGGTGAAGGGCAGGTGGGATGGCCCCAGGGGGAGGTACAGCCAGATGAGGAGGTAATCGAGGAGGAGGGGGCATGAGATGCTGGTAGTGGATGCCAGGAGGAGGAGGAGGGACCCCGAAGCTTGAGGAGAGAGGTGGTGGGGGTGGAATTGGAGGTGGGGGCAGACCCATCAGGGGGAGGGCTGACGGAGGGCGGTTGAAGTAGGGCAGCACACTGGGGGGCTTATCCACACGGGCAGATGAGGGCACAAGGTTCTCAGAGGGCGTGGCCCGTCCATCCGCAGAATCACTCGAATCTCGGGAGTGAGCCCGTGGAGGTATTCCTATGAAGCAAAACAACTATTGTCACTGCCCCGGCTTTAGACATACCCACAGGACCAGTTCATCCTCCGGCAAGTCATCGGACACCTACTGAGGAAGGTAGCAGGCGGCTGCAAAAGAAGGTAGCGTCATCTCCTGCCTTTTCTTTGGCATCAGAGAAAAGGCTGAGGCAACTTAATTATAAACCCAGAAGGCAATACCACCTTAAATTCTGTGTGTCAAAAATATTCTTTCTCTAGAACCATCAGTGCTTCACGTTACTTATCCTTAGCTTTGTCTTATATTTTTCAGTGCAGAAGGAGCCTAATCACCCGTGAGAAAATGACAGTGTTGAAGTTTGTTCATTACTGTCCAGCAGGGTTCAATCGGATTTGAAATTCCATGTCCCCTGATAAGAATTCAGCGCCCCTCTCCCTGGACTGGTCCTAGCCAACCTTCTCTATCCTCTGCGCGCCTGGAATGTCCGCCTTGCCAAGGCGCTTTAACCAGGGGACGTGGGGAGAGAAGGAAGGGCTGGGGCGGATGACGCTTCATCCAGGTACCAAAAGCGGCCACTGCGATGAATAAGAGGCACAATGAAGAGAAGACTGGAGACCTGGGGGTAAGAGGAAGTGGGAGACGAGCCAAGAAAAGCTCGGCCCGGAGAGTGAGCAGATGGCACACAACTGGGAACAGAGGCTCCTGGCAAAAGCGCGGAATAAAACGCGCCTCAAATGCGGGCACTCCCCCTGCATTTCAATGGCCCATGTTCCGCCCCACAGGGCAGCGTGCCGGGAACACCATCAGAGCACGCCGTGTGGTGCTACGCACAGGGGCTCAGAGCGTGTTCGCATGCAGCTGAAAGCAGGGCTCTGGCACTTTCAGGTCACTCGGTTACATCTGTCCCCTCACCCCAGCGTAGTGGTCCACGGAAAGCCTGGCCAACGTGGAATCCCACAGAAGAGCGTGATCGCACGGCGTGGGAGTCTCCGAGGCAGAAAGACGCTGGCAGCAGGCACATGTGGAAAGAGGAGTGCTCCTTAAGCTAGAACCTGCTAGGAACCCCGCTCTGGCTACAGCAGAAGGGGGGTCCACCACCCTGCACCACTGCGGTTCCTCTACTGCAGCCTCCCAGCAGCGCTGTCACAGCGCCGCCTTTCTATGTCTCAAACACAGGACCCCTTGCTTATTCCCCACGTTCTGCCACTGAAGGAAGAACAAGTCTTAGTGTGAGCTCTGACAGCCCCTTCCCATCTCCTGTCCCCTCATCTACAGGTTGTTTTGTATCTTTGGCTACAAATCCCAAGAGTAACAACCATTTTTAACCAAAGGAAGTCCACCAACTGCACAGCGAATTAACAGAGGCCAAGTCCACGACACAGAAAAACACCACTCAGTCACCATCAACATTTCAGCAAAGAAAGGTAACACCAAGGAATAAACAGCCACGTGAAGGTAGGAATGTTACCCCTGACGCAGCTGTAAAATGATGCACCTTAGAAAAGTCTGAAGGTTGTCTTATAGGAAGACTAAATCAGAAGGGACTTGAAAATACAAGTTGTCCAGGAAGAAGTGTGTGCCTTCTACAGCAGAGCCATGGAAGCTCAGACCACATCCAGCTAAGCTCTCAATCTAGTAAAGGAACAGCTGTTCCCACGCAAGAGAGAAACGGCCAGGGTTCCACCTTCCACCAATCACTACCCGGTCCCAGCGGACCCCCATCAATGCCAGGCACCATCTGAGAGGAGCTGTCCACCCCAACCCCCCCGCCCCCAACCCCCCCGCCCCCACCCCGGTGCAAGGAAAGTCAAGGCAGGTGGTGTCCCAGGCAGGGCCTTGCAGGGGGCTGCGCCTTGTGAGGTCAGGCCAATCCCAGCTCCGGTCCTCAGGTGTCCCAGTCCCAGAAACTCCATTTTAACAGATCACCCGGGGGATCGAGCCCTAGGAGACTGACTCATATGAACCAAACTCACCAGAGACCGATTCATAGACCAGAAGGCCAGTTCATTAATTTACAGTGAGAAATAGAACTGCCAAGCAGACCGAACACTTGCAGCAGCTGGTCAGTGCGTTCTCTTCCCAGGGAGAACTAGCTGGAAACCAAATCAGCATCAGAAGGTGGCTTGGTGAGTAGTCGAGTAAAAGGAGTAAGATGCACTTCAGAGACGCTAGCGTGGCGCTAAGGGGTTATGATGCAACCTTCTTTTCTAATAAGAAATACTCGCCACGCAGACTAATATCTGGCAATTGAAAGGGCACCCCTGGAAAATGCTGGAGAAACACTGTTAAATTCACATTCCCCAGCACATCTCTCTCTCTTTTTTTTTTTAAATATATTTTTATTGATTTCAGAGAGGAAGGGAGAGGGAGAGATAGAAACATCAATAATGAGAGAGAATCATGGATAGGCTGCCTCCCGCATGCCCCCTTCCGGGGATCGAGCCCACAACCCGGGCACCTGCCCTCAACCAGAATCGAACCCGGGACCCTTCAGTCCGCAGGCCGACGCTCTATCCACTGAGCCAAACTGCCTTTTACTACAGATGCGCTCCAGCACATCTTTAGGTCAATTCCTTACAGAGCATCCTTCCAATCTTGGTTTATGATATTAGAGGCCCGGTGTACAGATTCGTGCACTGGTGGGGTCCCTCAGCCTGGCCTGGGAGAATCAGGCCGAAACCAGCTCTCCGACAACCCCAGAGGGTCCCGGATTGTGAGAGGGGGTTCTCAGGTGAGGCACCCGGAATCAGGCTCCCTCCTCTCTTCTCCCAATATTATGTCACTTTCTCTCTATAGCTGTCTTGCTTCTTTCATCTCACTTTACCCTAGTTTGGCAGTAACTGACGCCTTGTGGGCATTTAGCTGCAAAATGCAATTATTTAGCAAACAGGATTTACTTAGCCTGGAATCTAGTCGGCCTAGGGCAGGACCCTGCCCAATGTCAGGCTCCCGCCAGACCCTTCCCCCAGGCAGAGTCCTGTGACCACGGGAGGAACCTCCTTCTTTCCACCTGAGCTGCACCCTCGCTGCCTTCCCTCCCGGGAGGTTGCCACTGGTGCTACTGTCTGCCCGGAAGGAGGGAAGCCACGGCCAGTATCCCAGCTGAGAGTGGTAGCGGGAAAATTCGCCACCTCCACTGGAAATCGGTATTAAGTGGATGGGCCGGTGCGGGCGCCAGACATCAGGGCTGCAGCCAGTAGATCCTGCACGTCTCATCATTTAGCTAATTGAGTTGAAAAGTTTCTGTAAGGGCCAGACCTGAAGCGGGGAGCCAATGGGCTAGAGGCCAGGTGCATGGACTCATGCACCAGTGGGGTCCCTCGGCCTGGCCTGCAGGGATGGGGCCGAAACTGGCTCCCTAACATTCCCTGAAGGGCCCCGGATTGCGAAAGGGCGGTTCTCGGGTGACACACCCCAGAATCAGGGTCCCTCCTCTCTGGTTCTGGGTGAGTCACTCGAGAACCACAGCTGCCAAGTCACCGCAGCTCGACAGCTCCCGTGTTGAGCATCTGCCCCCTGGTGGTCAGTGTGCATCATAGCTACTGGTCGGACAGTTGGCTGGTTGCTTAGGCTTTTATATATATAGATTACAGCCATCTTTACATACCTTACTTCTATATTAGGGTGGCTCCTTCTTAATAATTTATAGAGAGGCATGTCTTAAAATAAAGCCCATTCACTCACTATACACTGAATTGTTTTTTAGACAGAAACACAATTTAGAGTTGACAGGAACTTTAAACATCATGTATCTAGTTCAGAAGGGAAATAAGCCCAGTCACATGACTTAGTGGCAAAACCAAAGTATAACCACAGGCCTCATTTTGGGCCGACCTATTGCCCACGCTGCCACCCACAACCACCCCCTCCCCTCCCCCAAATTCCTTCACACTGTAGGCTGAGCCTACACCACAGAAAACAAATCCACAGCCTCCCCCATTTGTACAGATGGTCTCCACGTACCCCCTCTTGGGACTCGGACGCACTCACGTTTCCGAGCCTGTGCCTCAAACTGTGACAGGTTCTGCCTGGTGGCTGGCCTCACGTCGACTTTTTCTCCATTAAGAACTTTTCCCGGCAGGAGTTCTAACAGTTTGTGGACAGAGTTTTCAGAGGCTACCACTACCTCAGCATACCTTGAGGAAGAAGCATTAAAAATGAGTGAGAGCTACTAGACGACAGAAGAACAAATTTTCTTCCACTTTTAGTGAAAACTGGCAAAGCAAAAGGTATCTTGCTATTACTGGACACACACACACACACACACACACACACACACACACAACAACAAAAAGGTTTCAGTCTATAATCTTCCTACTTACTTGAAATTAGAAGTCAGCTTTCTTTGCCCCTCAATGGATAGATATTCTACTATACTGCAGCCACGTCCCCATTCTAAGGCAATTTGCCAAAACCAAGGCAGTGAACTGGGCCAGGGGTGGGAGGGGTTAAAATCCAGGGCCAAGATACAGCGCAGACCTGTTATCCCAACGGTTACAAACTAGGAGCTTCTCAAACCCAGACCTCACCCTTTGGACTGGCCATTTGCTCGATTCTCTGCAAATTTCAACTCCACCACGTCATAGACTCCGATAGAGCGAATAACCTGGATCAGCTGCTGGTCTGTGGTCCACTGGGGCCGGCAAAATGGAAAAGGAAGAAATGTCAGGAGCTACACTGCCCCCCACCCCCAACCCTTCCCCCAAACCTAGGACCCTATTCACAGCCAGGATCGCCCCAGGAAACCCCAGAGCCCATCAGTACTTCAATTAGTGCGGGCTTGGCTTACTGTCCTCCCCACACAGAAGTCCAAACACCCGCCCGCCACAGTCCCCACCGCCAGAGTCAGAGTCAGACCTAGTTTAACTCTGACTGCCATTTGGGCTGGCTGGTCATCAGCTCAAACGCTGACACTAGCAGCTTTTAATTACAGATCTGATATGCAGCGTTGACCGTGGTCAGGAACTCCCCCCAGCATATACATTTCCAAATTTGGAAACAGCCCCCGCCACCCCCCACCAGCCCAAAAACATGTCACACAGTAACTTGCAGAGTAACAATCACCACCTACCCCGAGTGCACTAGAGCTATCAAGGCCTTTGATCCCTGTCACCCATCATTATCACAGGACCATCTAATGACCACCAAGAGTTCAAGGTATTCACTCTGAAATCTCATCCCACAGATGACCCTGCTAGACATAAAGCCCCAGGGTCAGGGGTGGTAACAAGATGGCAGAAAAAGCAACTACCCACTTAATCATTGCGTTCTTCGGCATCAGAACGTCCTCAGGATAGCTCTCTTTCAGAGATCAGTCCAACCTGACCCCAGGAAAAAGAAATCCAACCCCATCAGAGCACAAAGCAGTGCGACATGGGTCTCTGAAAATGCCATCACCTCCCAGCGCTCCCCCCGGCCCGCGCCGGCTCTGAGGTGACCCAGCTCACCCAGGAGAAGCTGCCCACATACACAGCGGCCCGCCTGTTGCGCAGGCCGCTGTAGGTGTACAGAATCGCAGGGGTCTTGTTACTGGGCTTGGGAGGCGGCTCCTGGCGGACAGGAGGAGGCGGCTCCGTGCTGCTGCTTCTGTCATCCGAGGGCTGTGAGGCGGCTGCCAGCACGTCGTCGTACAGATCGAGCTGATCTGTACTGTTGAACTCTGGGTCCTAAGAGACGAGGGGCCGGCAAAGGCGGGTTTGCAAACCTTTCGTCGTGTCCGTTCCAGTCACTCTAGTTTACCTGGAACCCACACACACTCTCCAGAACGGACAGAGCCTCCTTGTCCTACTCTGGGGAACTTCCTCATTTAAAACTGTTTCACTCAATTAGCTCATGTGGCCTTTTCTTCTAAGACCCTGTGAGTTGTCTGCAAGGTTTCTAGCCACAGGCGCCTGTGAGAATTAAAAGGTACATGATGATTAAATAAGAATGTAAGGACACACTATTGATATCCATGAGCTTAGCTTCTAAACACCACATCTAAGACGCACTAATGAAAATTTCAGTATCTTGTGCATTTTCAAAATCAAGAGTTACACAAACTTTATTATTCTATTTAATAGGAAATAGAGAATATTATTTAAAAATAGAAAGCAGGGAAAGGCATGTTAAAATGGGAACCAAAACATAAAAAATAATGGAAATTACTGGTTTAAATTATTTAATTTACACAAATGATTTAGGGAAGCTCTAAAACTCATAGTACACAACCCCATCTGTCTAATAACCATCAAAGAAACATTAAAAAATAAAGTAAAAAGGAAGGTAATAACTCTGGGGGAATTTTCCCTCACTAAGTTCTATTTCTCAAGTGCCATGCAGATCCAATATATTACCAGGACACCTATAGAAGGGATATCTTTGAGCAATACCAGAGATGTTTAATGATCCAAAGCTAAGTGCTCTAAAATATCAGGCTCAGAAAAGAGACGGATCCATCCCATGAGCTACGTCACAGTGAGCATTTACGGTATCAGTGTCTATTCTGGAAGACAGCGGTGTGTGAGGTCCGAGAGGTGACGCCCGCTGCTGTAAGAAACTTGCTGCCTTGGGAAGGCCGGGAGGGTTGGGGGGCAGGAGGGGAGGGTAAGAGCTCAACCGAAGGACTTGTATGCATGCATATAAGCATAATCAATGGACATAAGACACTGGGGGGTAGGGGAGGCCAGGGGATTGTCAAGGACGGGGAAAAAAGGGAGACATATGTAATACTCTTTGTAATACTTTAAGCAATAAAATAATTAAAAAAAAAAAAAAAAAAAACTTGCTGCCTGTGTGACATGTTACTGTATAGACCAGTGGTTCTCAACCTTGGCTGCACATTAGAATCACCTGGGAATCTTTTTAAACTCCTGATTTCTTGGCCTCATCCTCCAGAAATTCTGTTTCTTTGTTACTAATGTTGTGGCCCCTCCCCATAACAAAGAAACAGAATTTCCAGAGGATGAGGCCCAGAAATTAGGATTTTATTTTATTTTATTTTATTTTTTTTTATATATTCCATCGATTTTCCACAGAGAGGAAGGGACAGGGACAGAGAGTTAGAAACATCGATGAGAGAGAGAAACATCGATCAGCTGCCTCCTGCACGCCCCCCACTGGGGATGTGCCCGCAACCAAGGCACATGCCCTTGACCGGAATCGAACCCGGGACCCCTCAGTCCGCAGGCCGACGCTCCATCCACTGAGCCAAACCGGTGCTAGCGAAATTAGGATTTTAAAAAGATTCCCAGGTGATTCTAATGTGCAGCCAAGGTTGAGAACCACTGGTATAGACCTGTGGTCGGCAAACTGCAGCTTGCGAGCCAAATTCGGCTCTTTGGCCCCTTGAGTGTGGCTCTTCCGAAGCCTTAGGCGTACCCTAATTAAGTTAATAACAATGTACCTACCTATATAGTTTAAGTTTAAAAAATTTTGCTCTCAAAAGAAATTCCAATCGTTGTCCTGTTGATATTTGGCTCTGTTGACTGAGTGTGCCGAGCACTGGTCTAGACGAATGTCTGTGTGCCCGCCCCCGTGCAGATGCTGAAACCCTACTCCGCAGCGGGATGGTATCAGGAGGGGGCCCTTGGGAGGGGAATTGGGGTTAGACGGGGTCTTGAGGGCGAAGCCCTCATGGATGAGGCTAGGGCCCTGTAAGAGTCAGTGAGAGACTGTTCACCCTGCTCTTCGTACTGTGAGAATGTAAGAGACCGGCCGTCTACAACCCAGAAGAGGGCCCACCAGAACCCACACCTGACTTTGGCCTTCTAGCCTCCAGAGCAGTGAGAAATAAATCTCTGTTGTTCACAGCACCCTGCTTTTATTATTTTGCTATGGAAGTCCAAGCTGACTAACACTATACACCAAAACCCCTAAAACCACAAGAACTATCAAGGGATCTCAATGTTTCAGATTTTGCAATGTCATTATCTCAGATCTTTTCTTAAAGGACCACAGAAGTATTTTCCAGCGAACACTCTAACATTCAAACAGTGTTAAAGATTTAGCTGCCAAAATGACAGAGGCAGAAGTTTGAAGTGTTTTACGGAAGCCACAGCTCATTCATGCCATTGCTGCCTTTTAAAAAAGGAAATAAAGGAAAAACCTACATTAGGTAACTTGTCTAGTTCCCTGAAGAGTCATTTCCTGTCTAAAGAACTCAGGACAGGACGCTCTAATGACTGTCTCCCTTCAGTATCAACACAAGAACTGCTGATTCTGAAGTGAGACTAGAGAGGTGAGACTCACTACAAAAATCGTTTTTTTTTTATATATATATATTTTATTGATTTTTTACAGAGAGGAAGGGAGAGAGATAGAGTTAGAAACATCGATGAGAGAGAAACATCTATCAGCTGCCTCCTGCACATCTCCCACTGGGGATGTGCCCGCAACCCAGGTACATGCCCTTGACCGGAATCGAACCTGGGACCTCTCAGTCCGCAGGCCGACGCTCTATCCATTGAGCCAAACTGGTTTCGGCTACAAAAATCATTTTTTAAAAATATGTTTTTATTGCTTTAGGTTGAGAGGAAGGGAGAAGTAAAGACAGAAAGAAACATCAATGAAAAATCATCGACTGGCTGCTTCCTGCATGCTCCCCAGTAGGGATCGAGCCCACAACCCAGGCACTGACCAGGAATCCAACCGGTGACCTCTTGACACTCAACCTGAGCCACACTGGCCGTGCACAGATTCACTCAGGCCTACATACCATCACACACTTTTGGAAACAATCTTTGATTTTCTCAGCTCATCTGAAGTGCAATGGAAACATGCACACCGAGATAACAGTGTTTTGCTAGCGAAGGGGAAAGGCTCCCACTTCCTGAGGCATGTCGGTGACTTCGAAGATCACAAACACTCTAGGGCAGTGGTCGCCAACGTTTCGGACCTCACGGACCACGGGTGGCGACCGCTGTCCTAAGAAACCCCACAGCGGAGGAGTTTAAACCGTGTAAAAATGTCAGAAAGAGAATGGCAAGAGAAACTTTTTAGGGGCAGCTTAAAGGCAAGAAAAGGAATCAGTCAGACAAGGATGGAAGACTGTTCTAGGCAAACCAGTAAATAAGGATCTTGCATAAAAATGGTGTGTGTGGAAAAGAGAGACGCTAACACTGCGAGTGCAGGTGGGTAATAGACTGAATAAAGCAGACAAAGCTGGGGCTACGCTGACAAGTATTTTGTGTAAATATTTCGTAGACCTTATGTTTCAAATTATCCCAACTTTATGTAAGTCACTTATTTGTTCATGTGCCACCTACGGTAATTTACCCTTGTGGTTAAAGGTAGAGAAAGCACTCGATCCTCTCCCGTGATCTCATCCTTGGAGAGCACAACCTCCTACTAGGCGGCTTTTTTTAAAATCAAGGATTTTGAAATGCAACTTAAAACACACCATCTTGGATAGTCAGTGGACTCAAGTTGGAATTCCTTCCATGTAGTACTTGTGATTCCGAGATGTGTGTCTAAAAGCTGTAATACAAAAATTGCCACTGATAATGGGATGACAAACTAACATGCAGACTTGGGTCGCTCAGGATGTCGCCATACTGTAAGCCTCGGCGAATCAGTCCCGGAAGGCCCTGCTGCACGGGTGCCTCACCACTGCACGCAACACAAAACGCTGCAACAAGTCAAAGTTGTCCAAGACTGACATGGTTTCTCTGGGCCACAGAGCTCCGGTTCAAAGACGGTGATGGGAACTTCCCATGCACAGGAAGGCCTATTGAGGACTGTGCTGCAGTAGTTTTACTGAAGAAACAAGGTATCAATTTGGATTTGGATTTAAATCTGTTAGTGACATCAATTCATTTTACTTCTTCGGTTGGTAAAACAAAAAACGATAACGACCTCAAGTTTTTCTGGTTACCAAGTAAGTGGATGATTTATGCAGTGATGCATTAGGTTAAGGCAAAACCTAATTCTACAAATTAACAATAAAATTTTTACTTAAAAATAAAAAAGATAAACAAGGCTGGCCAGTGTGGCTCAGTGGCTGAGCTATAAACCAGGAGGTTATAGTTTGATTCCTGGTCAGGGCACAGGCCCAGGTTGTGGGCTCAATCCCCAGTGTGGGGCATGCAGCAGACAGCCAATCCATGATTCTCTCTCATCATTGATGTTTCTATCTCTCTCTCCCTCTCCCTTCTTCTATGAAATCAATTAAAATATATTTAAAAAAAATTTTTTTTTTTACTTAAAAAGGCAGTATTTAATACTGAATGACTATCTCACAGAACTGTGATTGTCTCATAAAGCTTCTTGGTTAACAAGAGAACTAGCGGAATTTTAAATTTAAGTAATAATTCCGCAACTGCATGCTCACCTCCGGCCCCTTTCCTTGGTATCTGAGGGAAGGGAAGTAATAAGCCCAGGATTTATTTTTCTCAAAGTGACCTACTTGATAGCATTGCTTCTTTTCATTGTAACCAACGCTACAAATTCAGGTTTTATAATGACCATCTCCACAGCTCTCACCTCACAGCCTCCTTCCCCGTCACCCTCCGTTCCCCTCAACCACCACAAACACCTTTTGAGCACGCAGACGCTTCTTCCGTGCCCTCACTAGGCCCGGCTCAGGGCCTCGCGAATAGAAGCAGCTCAATACACACTTGCTGATGGGAGTGAAGAAGAGAACTGGGCAGACTGTGCCCAGCGCCTGCCTGTCCTGCACGAGGAACGGAGACAAGACACTCAGGAGAGACGCAGCTCTAGCGGCTGCCCAGAGCTCCTCCCCCGCCCAGAGAGGGGCTGTGGGTCTCAGGACTCCCTGTGAAGCAGGAGGAAAGCCGCCGTAAGAGGCTTTTTGCAGCACATGTAAGAGATCAGGGCCAACACCGCAGGGTCCCATGTAGGAAATGCACTTCCCTGGGGAACCAAGTACATGTGATGGAGTTTTTGAGCATGGGTCACTTTGGGGCGAATCAAGAACATTCTTAAAACACTCTAAAGCACTATCCGCCTAAGTGCCTTCAGCCTAAGCCTGCTTCTAACAATTCCAGCCAGACAGAGCTTTAGCAGCCTCCAAATAACACTAAAACCATTTTTGCCAAAAATTAACTCACTGATGGGGGTAAAAAGCACTCCTCCCACAAAACATTAAAAATCTACACTTTCAACTTGCTGCGCATCAAATATTGTCTGTTTGGTATAAATGTCTACTAGATCCCACACACCATCTTTGGCTTATCAGACTCATAAAAAACTCCTTTTAGTAAGAGGTCGGAGGAACCAGATTGCTGAGGCCAAGGACTTCTACTCTGACAAGGCAGTGACCTCTGCACAAGGCCTGTGTCTCTGACCTACAACTTACACTGTTTAGGAAATCTGAAATTTCGCTTTCTTAGGCCAACGGTGGCTAGACCTACGGTCAAGGACTCCCTCCTGCGCCTTTCCCAAAGCAGCGCTGTCACCCACCCACAGAAGGGAGCCAACCCCACCCAGGGAGTCTCCTTTTCTTTCTATCAAGTATTTAAAAAACAAACCATAACTTGTTAAAAGGTAATGAGTGTCTGACTCAAAGTAGCATGGAAAACTCAGGAAAGCAGTGGTTTGTAACCTACTTATTACACTAAACCTTTCTTTTTATCCATAGTATTTGACTTGTTTGAAATTAACATTTTTTTCATGTACTTAAGTCAACCAACAGCCACATGTAGACGCACCCAGTTTACCTGAGGAGTCACCAGAAAACGACTATTAAAAAGTATAACTAGTGCCTGGCTGGTGTGGCTCAGTGGTTGAGCCTCGACCTATGAACCAGGAGGTCATGGTTTGATGCCCAGTCGTGGCACAATCCCCAGGTTGCAGGCTTGACCTCCAATGGGGGGTGTGCAGGAGGCAGCCAATCATTGATTCTCTCTCTTCATTGATGTTTCTCTCTCTCCCCCTCTCTGAAATCAATAAAATTATATTAAAAAAAAAAGTATAACTGGTGCCTGGCTTGTGTGGCTCAGTTGGTTGAGCATCAGCCCATGTACCAAGAGGTCAGTGGTTCAATTCCAGGTGAGGGCACATCCGGTTGCGGGTTCAATTGCACACACATGTACGCGTGTGTGTGTGTGTGTGTGTGTGTGTGTGTGTATGTGTGTTTTGCAGGAGGCAGTTGATTGATGTTTCTCTCCCCTCTCCCTTCCTTTCTCCCTAAAATCAATAAAAAAACATGTTTTAAAAAAGGTATAACTGGTGAACCTGTACAATGGGTACAAGGTCACTACATCCATATTTTGTGTTTTAAAATCTCTATGTTAAAAAGGCGTAATACTTTTAAAAGGCTTTTAAATGTAAATTTATGCCAAGTGGAAAAAACCCCAGCATGTATTTCAACCTCTTCGGTTGCCTCATATCCAAGCCAGAGTCCAAGCAGCATACTTTCCTTCTCTAGCTGGTTCTTGTACCCTTTCTCCAAGCCCTAATGTGCACCCGTAAAACGATGCCAATGGCAAGAACCAGCTTACTCAAGTAGAATGGTGCTGAAACAATCCAGGCAAGGCACGAAGTTTTAAATAGAGACTTTGCAACATTCTTGAGATGTGACCTCAAGAGCTCAGAATCCAATTACTATAAATATGATTATCGTTTCAAGGAAAGTCATCGTATAATGTTCCTTGAGGTCATATAAAAGCACCAATAAATCCAACTTCGGTATGCAGGTGGGTCTACACTAGCTTTTTAGCTGCTGGTCCCAAACAATTCCATTCACCAATAAAGCGTACGACGCCAAAATGCCTCCCTAAGCCTGGAGCCAAGCTAGCTGCAGATGAAAACAAGCCGAATGCAGCTGAAACGGAATGCTAGAGTATCTTTACGCCGGGCCTTGGCGCTGCCTTATGGGAGAGGGGCACTGGCCACTGTTTCCCTGCTGCAGCCGGAGACCATCTCAAAGGAACCGACAGCAGCACGGCCCTGCGATCGCTGAGGAGCGCGGCGCTGTTTGTAAGCGTGGTCCGTCTTTGAGACAACAGACACCCGACTGGCTCCTGGGGCAGCGCATTCCACAGGCTGATGCACACACCACCCCATTAAACCTGACTTTTATTTGCTCTTAAAGCAAAGCCTTTCTAATTAAGCCTGAGGATGAACCTAACATACCGGATGGTCGGAAGACTGGAAGGTCGGCGCTACAGGCAGAGGCGGAGGCGTGTGCAGGCGGCAAACCCCCAAGGACTGGCATAACCTGGAGCCACTGCAAGTGGCCGGAGGTGGTTCCCGGCCGACCCAGGGGAGTCCCCAAGCTCCCCACGACCCCTCACCTGATTGAACTCCTCGTCGGCGTAGATGTCAATCAGGTCCACTCCTTCGGACATGGCTCCGGAAGGCAGATCGCGAGCCCGGGACACGGACAAAGTAAGGAAGACGCCACTGCGATATCCAGAAAGGGGCAAGGGTTAGCGGGCATGCGGGTCCCGGGGTGGACGGAGGGCGATGGTTGCCAACCTCCCGTCTCCAGAGACGCAGCCTCCGGGCACCCGAGCGCGGCCCCCCCGCCGCGCCCCGCCCCGCCCCCGGCCTCGCGCCGCCCCTCGCTCTCCCAGGCCGCCCCGGCTCGCGGGGCTCGCTGCCCATCACCCTCGGGCCCGGCCCGAGCCGCGCCGCAGCTGGCCGAGGCGCCCCGGGCCAGTCCCGGCCTCCGCTCCGGGGGCCCGCGGGCGGCGCTGCGAAGAACGCCCGAGGCCAAGCCCGCAGCCGCCGCCCGGCGCACCTGCCTAGGCCCCGGGCGGCCCGGTCCGAGCCCCCGCGGCTCTCGGAGCTCCCGCCGCCCCCGCTCCCCGCCCAGGCCCAGTCCTCGCCCCCGGCTAGGCCCGCCCCGCTCCCTCCCGCAGCCCCGGCCCCGCAGCCCCCTCCCACAAAGGCCCGCGCCTCCCTCCCTCCGCCGACTCCCACGGCCCCAAACTCAACCGACCCCCTCCCCGCCTCGGCGCCGGCCCCGAGCCCTCTTCCGGCCCCGCCGGCCCCCGGCCGCGCGCCCCCGTTACCGGGAATATGGCGGCGGAGGCGGCGAGTCCGGACTAGGCCCGAAGCGCGCGAACCGCTCACGGCCCCCCGATCCCGCCTCCCCCCTCCCCTCCGCCAGGGGCGTCAGACGCACGGCCACTTCCGTCATACGCAGGGAAGTGTCTTCCGGCTCCGGGAGTTCCCGGAAGTGGCCGGGGGACCGGCTTCCGGTCCAGGTCGGGGCAAAATGGCACTGGCGGCTGTGTTGCCGGCTCTGACGCGGGTGAGGAGCGTGGAGGTTGTGGGGCCCCAGGCGGGCCGCCGCGGGCGCTGAGCTCGTCCTCCTCCTCCGTCTTCAGCCCGCGAGCGGCGTCCGGCTGCTGACGGCCGGGGCGAGGGCAGGCCAAGGAGAGGTCCTTCTCGCAAAGTTAGGAGGTTCCAGTCGCCCCCGCCCCCTCCCGAGCCCGCGGTGCCCGTCCTGTAGTGTCTGAGCTAGATCCGCCTTCCTGCCCGGCCCCGTGCGGCTTTCACCTGTTCCCCCGGGGAGAGGGGGGCCCGAGGTCCTCAGGGCGCCCCAATCTCTGTTCTTGTCTTTCCTGATACCTGGCACGGTCGCACGCCGCATCGTACGGCCTCTCGTCCTTTTCCGTGTAGGTGTTTGCCCCTGTCCACCTCTGTCAGTGCTCCTTTTTGCTGCACCCAATAGCATTTTGTATGCGGTGTCTTTTGTCTCAAGATAGTTCCCGATTTCCCGTCTGATCTCTTCTTTGACTCATTTGAACCATCGGTTAAGAGTGTTGGTTTCGCGTACTTACGCACGTTCCAGTTTCCTTCCATTGTGGTCAGAGAAGGTCTCGTATAATTTCCAGCTCCTTGGACTCCGTGTTGTAACTTCACCTGGGCTCTCCCCGGGGGCAAGTGCCCAGTGTGCTTGAGCAGAGCATATGCTCGCGGCTGGTGGGTGGAATGTTCTGTCTATGTCTGTCTGGTCAGTTGGGTCTGTGGTGTTGTTCAAGGTCTCTGTTTCCGAATTGATCTTCTGCCTGGATGCTCTGTGAGGTATTGAAATCTCCTATCATTGTGTTGCTATTTCTCCATTTGGTCACTGTTTACTTCATGTATTTGGGTGCTCTGGTGTTGATTGCATGTGTATTTATCATTGTTATATCTTCCTGATGAATTGCCCTTTTTATCATTACCCTAGAGGCCCGGTGCATGAAATTTGTGCACTGGAGTGTGTGTGTGTGTGTGTGTGTGTGTGTGTGTGTGTGGAGGGGTGGTGTGGGGGGGGTGTTCCCCTCAGCCTGGCCTGCACCCTCTTACAGTCTGGGACCCCTCGCTCCTTACCGCCCACCTGCTCACTGCTCCTTACTGCTTGGCTCCCTGCATCTGCCCCCTGGTGGGGAGGGACCTGGGGAGGCTCCAGGGCATGTCTGGCCTGTCTTGCTCAGTCCCTATCCGCAGGATCCCAGCAGCAAGCTAACCTGCTAGTTGGAGCATCTGCCCCCTGGTGGTCAGTGCACATCATAGAGAGCAGTTGAGCGGCCTTAGCATATTACGCTTTGATTGGTTGAACAGCCGACTGGACAACCAGACACTTAGCATATTGGGCTTTTATTATATAGGATAATGCCCTCCTTTATCTTCTGACAGGTTTTTTCCCCCTGAGAGTTTTTTATTAAAAGTCTGTGTTGTCTGAGATGAGGAGGGTCATTCTGCTCACTTTTGCATGGACTGTGTTTTCCTCATCCTTCCACTTCAGCCCACGTGTATTCTTACATCTAAAATGAGTCTCTTGTAACAGCATATAGTTGGGTCTTACTTATTATTATTTTCTAAATCTTCACCTAAGGACATGCTTATCGACTTGAGAGAGAGGGGAAGGAGAGAGAGAGATACGTCGATGGGCGAGAGAAACATAGATTGGTTGCCTTCTCATACGAGCCGTGACCAGGGATTGACCCTGCAGCCTTTCCATGAACGGGTCGATGCTCCAACCAACTGAGCCACACTGGCCAGGGCAGTTGGATCTCATTGTTTTGTCCATTCGGCCACTCTATGTATTTTGGTTGGGGAGTTTAACACATTTCTATTTAAAAAGCCAGGAGTTGGGGGTTTTCTCCTGCTCATTCTATGCTGGGCCAGGGGCAGGGGCCATGGTGGGGGAGTGCGGGCCAGTCCAAACCCTTGCCTTTGTTCTCGACAGCACCCAACCTGGTGCCATCTCCTGCGAGCACTTCGATTCAGAGAGAACAAACACTAGCCAATCTGGCGGCCCCCCGGGAGGTCGGCATGCGGGGCGTATGTCTCGGGCTCCCCTTTCTCTCCTGGGGGAGACGCCAGCAGCTGAGGGTTTTCTTCAGTCGGACCAGGCTGGGCCAGGGGGCGGGACTGAGATGAATGACTGCCATGGCTTTTCCTTCCAGCTTTGAAGCAGCTGCTCTGCTTGCCCGGGGTTTGGGAGCCTCTTCACTGGTTTGGGATTTCTCTTAAAGGGAACCGGTCCGTGTGTTACGGAGTTGATGGTTTCCGGGAGCAGGAGAGTGTGGGGCTACCTGTCCTGCCATCTTGCTGACATGAACACCTTCTCCTGGCATCAGAGGCTTTGCCCTTCTCTAGATTGGGAGCCCTTGGAGGATTAGGGTCCATGCCATCACTGCATGCTCAGATTTTAACACGGTCAAGAGACACTGCATCGGGGGAGCACGTACTCTGCTGAAGAACTTCTGGAAGGGCACTGGTCAAGAACGTGTTGGCCGTCAGGCTGGCTTTCGGGTCTGACTGCAGTTACTGTCGGAGGGACCTGGGTTCGTGTTCTCGCCTCCCTGAGCCTGGGCCTCTACGCTGTAACGTGGGGCCAGTCTCAGCGAAGCTTCTGGAGGACTGGCTGAAATCCGACGCGCTTGGCGCCCAGTGCGTGTGGAGGGTGACGGGGTCGGATGCTAAAAAGATGTCTGTGGTCTGTCTGTTTCAGGTGCTTGCTCTGTCCAGGCAGCGCCTCGTGTCTCCTTTGCCCAGCGTGACGTCCTCCAGCCGCTTCTACAGAGGTGACAGCCCGTCAGATTCCCAGAAGGATATGATTGAAATCCCTCTGCCTCCGTGGCAGGAGCGACCTGATGAGCCCATAGAGACCAAAAGAGCCCGCCTGCTGTATGAGAGCCGGAAGCGGGGCATGCTGGAGAACTGCATCCTGCTCAGGTGGGGCGGGGCTGGGGGCCATTGCCCTGTGGCTGGAGACGCCCGGACCGGCCTTTTAACTTCTTCCTCTCTCTCTCTCTCTTTCTCTCTCTCGTTTTTAGCCTCTTTGCTAAAGAATATCTGCATCAAATGACAGAGAAACAGCTGAACCTGTATGATCGCCTGATTAATGAGCCCAGTAATGACTGGGATATTTACCACTGGGCTACAGGTACGGGGGGAGGCAAGCGGAATGTGAAAAATAGGATCACTTGGGCTGATTTGAATCTGGGATTATATCCTAGGCAATTCCCCCCCCCCCCCCCCGCTTTATTCGTGCAAATAGACATTCACCAGACACTGTTCATTTTTCCAAAGTGTGTAACATTTGTCTGCTTAGTTAAGGTTCTTTGGTGTGCAAACAGTAGAGACCTGTTCTGTGTAACGTAAGCAAAAAGGGAATTTAGTGAGACTGTACAGGTCTCCGAGGCAGGTTGAGGAAAGACTCGGCTGGGACTGGAGTGGAGCCAGAAACGGACACCTCACCCGTTCTCGCACCCTCTGGGTCTTCCGTGTTTTTGTTCCCACTCAATGTGCGTCACAAAATAGGAGCCGTTCTGCAGGTCCATGTCTCCTCTGCTCTGACAGATTATCTGTTAGTAAGAGAGGGCCGTATAATCGCCATCCGTAATTGTGGATTTATTACTCCTTTCTGTTCTCTCAGTTTTTCTTCATATATTTTGAAGCTCTGTTATTATGTGGAGACATATTAGGATTGTTATATCTTCTTGATGAATTGACCCCTTTATCATTATACTAGAGACCTGATGCACAAAATTCATGCAAGAATAGGTCTTCCTTCCCCTGGCTGCTGACACCGGCTTCCCTCTGGCACCCGAGACCTGGGCTTCCCTTGCAGCCCCGGCTTCGTCAGGAAGGTTGTCTGGAAGGATGTCCAGTCTAATTAGCATATTACGCTTTTATTATTGTAGATAATGCCTGTCTTTATTGCTGATAGTGTTCCTTGTTCCAAAGTATCTGATCGTAATTTAGTCACTCCACGTGCTTTTGATGAGTGTTTGCATGGTATGTTTTTCCATCTATATTTCTGTTGTTATGTAGTAAATTAACACAAACTTAGTGACTTTATTTTTGAAAATTTATCTTTATTGTTCAAAGTATTACAGATGTCCCCTCCCCCCCTCATTGACACCCTCCACCCCACCACTCCCACAAACTTAGTGACTTCAAACAACCCCTGTCTGTTAGCTCAGAGCTGTGCCCAGATCTCACAGTCTGGAAACTCATTCAGGTTGTAGGACTGACGTCCCAGTGGTCTTGTGAGTTGTTGATCTCTTTCAGCTCCTGGAAGCCACTCTCAGATCTGTGCCCTGTGGCCCCTCCAGCTCAGCAGTGGAGCCTCCCTCACAAGGAATCCCTCTCAGGCTTCAAAGCTACCCTGTTTCCCCTTCTGTCACCTCCTGGAGGAAACCCTGCTTTTAATAGAGCTCATGTGATGAGGTCAAAACCACTTGGAAAAGTTCCCTGTCCCAAGGCCAGCTGTGCCGCAGCGACATGACTGGTCATGCTCACAGGCGGGGATTTCATAAGCCTGTGCGCCGTTCTTTTACTTTAAGTTGAGCCTCTTGCAGACAGCATACTTAATCTTTATTTTTTTGTCCAATCTTATCATCTCTGTCTGTTCATTGGTATGTTTTGGTCATTTACATATAATTAATTATCAGTGTGATTGCATTAAAATTTACCATCATTTTGTTTTCTATTTCTTCCATCTGTTGTTTGTTCCTTTTCCCCTCTATTTCCATGGGGTTTTTTAAATGAGTATTTTAAATTTTACTCCACTTTTGCTTTATTATTTATACCTCTCTTTATAATTTTTTTAGTGATTGCCCCAGGGCTGGCAGTCTACATCTTTAATTAATCACAGTCTACCTTCAAGTAATATTATAGTACTTCATGTATAATGTAAGAACTTTACAGTAGCACACTCCAATTCCTCCCTCCCATCTTTTGTGCTATTGTTGTCATACCTTCTATTTTTACTTATGCTGTAAGCCTACACTACATTTCTGTTGTTTTACTTCAGACAATTATCTACAGAGCAATTTAAAATAAGGAAAAGGATAGCATATATATATATATATATATATATATAAAAGTTATAACATAGTATCTTATATGTAAATACATGGATAATGTAATATGTAACATTTATATAATATATAATTACATTATCCTATATCATAAGAGGCTAATAAGCGAATCGACTGAATGGCAGAATGACCAGTTGCTATGACGTGCACTGACCACCAGGGGGCAGACGCTTAATGCAGGAGCTGCTCCCTGGTGGTCAGTGTGCTCCCACAGGTGGAGTGCCGCTCAGCCAGAAGCCGGGCTGACAGCAGTGGCGGGAGCCTCTCCCACCTCCGCGGCAGTGCTAAGTTCCGGAAGCCAATTCCAGGTAGCAGGGCTGAATCGAGTGGCTGAAGGGCATTTCCCCAAACCTGAAAAGGATAATTGCTTGCTGCCAGACAGCTAAGGGCATCTTAATCTACATGTTATTGCCTCCTACTGGCCAAACACCTGAACAGCCGAAGGCAGTTTCTCCAAAACCTGATAATCTGACAATGGCCTCTGTATACGAAACCTGACCCTTTGATGTGTACATCTCCGTGTCACCTTAGGACAAATTGTGTTAATAAAAAGCAAGGGGTCCTGAGATGAGGAGATCTTAGTTTCTTTAGCTAAGCTCCTCTGACCCCCCAAATGCCTTTCAAAATGATGTTTCCTCTCTGGACTCTTTATTAAGTTACACATAGCCCTTCTCCAGATTGCTGAACCCCTTCTTAATGCCGGAACAAGAACCCCGGCAGCTAAGGACCCCTCGGGGGATGTCCACCTGCCAGCTTAGGCCTGCTCCGATCCCAGACTGCAAGAGGGCACAAGCCGGGCTGAGGGACCCCACCCAGTACACAAATGTTGTGCACCGGGCCTCTAGTATTTTATATTACCTTATTTTAATCATCTCTGAGTTCTTCATTTCTTTATGTAGATCCATGTTTCCATCTGGTATCATATTCCTGAAGAATTTCCTTTAATATTTCTTGTAGTGTAGGTCTGCTGCTTTTGGCATTTTTGAAAGATATTTTCACTGGATATAGAATTATAGGTTCACAATTTTTCCGCACATTATAGGGGCACACTTTTTGCTAGGCTTGAGAACTGAGTCAGTCTGTTCAGTTGAGCTGGATTTGGGTGGTTGTTGCTTTGGTTACCTTGTACCACCAGCTTTAAATTCCCTTAGTGTTACCATGTGCCATTTTCTGGTCTGCCTGGTTTTTGGCATGGCGTCTGCTGTGTCTTTGTTCCTTTGTATATAATGTATCTTTTCTTTCTGAATGTTTCCAGCATTTTATCTTTGGCTTCTAGCAGTTTGAATGTTATATGCTAGATGCTTGTGTTTGGTATTTATCCTGCTTTGGGTTCTCTGGGCACGTTGGGTCCAATTACACTTAGGTTAGACTGTTGAATATTATTTCTTAGTTTTAGGATTGTTCTGTGTCTCTTACTCTTTTTTTTTTTTTATCCATCAGTTTGGGTAATTTGTGTTGGATAATATCTGTGGACCTATCCTCAGTTCACTATGTCAAATCTCAGGATGGACCTGTTGAGGTCATTCTGCTTATTTGCTTATTTTTATTTATTTATTAAATATGTTTTCATTGATTTCAGAGAGAGAGGAAGGTAGAGGGAGAGAGAGAAACATCGACGTGAGAGATAAACATCGGTTGCCTCTCACACGCACCCCAGCACCCTGATCGGGGACCGAACCCGCAGCCCGTGCACGTGCCTTGACCAGTGACCCCTCAGTGCATGGGACGACCCTCCAGCTGAGCCATACCGGCCAGGGCTGCTTGCTTTTATTTTTAACCTTCCCCTTTCACTTTTACAGTTTCCACCTATGCTGGAGTTCCTCACCGGTTCATCCATTTGTGTCTCCTTTTTCCACTGGGGCAGTGGTTCTCAACTTTCTGGCCCTTTAAATACAGTTCCTCATGTTGTGACCCAACCATAAAATTATTTTCGTTGCTACTTCAGAACTGTAATGGTGCTACTGTTATGAATCGTAATGTATCTGATATGCAGGATGGTCTTAGGCGACCCCTGTGAAAGGGTCGCTTGACCACCAAAGGGGTCGCGACCCACAGGTTGAGAACCGCTGCACTAGGGCCTTTAACATGTTAGTCATAGTTGCTTTAAATTCCCTAAGAGTCGCCGAAACCAGTTTGGCTCAATGGATAGAGCGTCGGCCTGTGGACTGAAAGGTCCCAGGTTCGATTCCGGTCAAGGGCATGTACCTGGGTGCGGGCACATCCCCAGTAGGAGATGTGCAGGAGGCGGCTGATCGATGTTTCCCTTCCATTGATGTTTCTAACTCTCTATCTCTCTCTCCCTTCCTCTCTGTAAAAAATCAATAAAATCTATTAAAAAAAAAAAAATTCCCTAAGAGTCTAACATCTGGGTCATCCCTTGGTCTGTTTCTGTGGATTGCTTTGTCCCTTGACTGTGTGTGTGTGTGTGTATCTCCTCATTGTGTGTTGAATGTTAGACATCGTGACTAAGACCAGGAAGACTGAGGTAGGTAGTATTTATGCCTAGAAGTGGCCTGTGTGTGTCCGGCTGTTAGCGTGGGGGTCAGTCGGGTGAGGAGTGAAGCTCACTTTGGACGTATTGCTGCTCTGGCTCCCCCCGGTGCACCACCAGCCCTACTGTGACCATGTGCTAGGGAGGGACGGAACTTCCGAGGCGTTTCTGCAGTGCTGCTTTCACCCTCCGCTTCCAGCCTCCCTTGCATGTCTGTGCCTCAGAGGGAGCCTCTCTCCCTGCTTTTCCCTCCCCCGTTGTAGAGCCCGCTGCTCTCTACTTGGTGCTTGTTAGTGGGGGGGGGGGGGGGGGGTGTCTCTGTGAGCCCCGCCCAGCTCAGTCCCTGTGGCCCTGGGTCTGAGGGGCGGGCCTTCTCAGCGACCCACCTGCTCATCCCCCAGGGGAGGACTTGCTTTTCCTTTACCCTCCCATCAGCCCAGATGGGTCCTCGTGTGCCCGGGGGAGACAGGGTTTGCTCACCTGCTCCCGGGGGCTTTTGTTCTGCGGAGGGCAGGCCTGGGCCGGGCTTCATGCTTTCTTCGCCGTGGGGTCTGCACCCCTCCCCTGGGCCTGCGTCCTTGAGGGAGGCTTTCTCTCCAGCCTCCCGTCCTGACCCAGGCTTGTCAGGAGCATCCTCGGGTGAGAGAACCTGTCAGTGGGCGGGATTCCCCCGCGTCCGTGGGTGGGACTCCCCTGCGTCCATGGCGAGTGCACAGCGGCTTTTAGCGGCTCATTGACATTCAGCCGAGGCTTCGCCCTGTCTGTGTCCTGCCCGGTGCCTCTTCTGTGCTCTGCGCAGGCCAGCACGTGCTCAGGTCCCCGTCTCCTGGGGGCGCCCCATAGGTTTCATTCTGCTCGGGGTCTGTGACCTCAGCGCCGATGGCCTCATGAGTCCTCGGGAGTCCAGTCCACCTGGCTTCCTGTTGGGAGGGGAGCCGTGCTCTTTCCCACCGTCACACGCTAGGGGGCCCGAGCCCCTCGATCTTACTGTGATCATTACAGAAACCCCGGGTGCTGGGCCCTGTGCTGAGGGGACCAGACTTGGTGTTGAGGAACGCCCTCCTGGCGCGTGTTAGCCTTGGAGGGAGGGTGATTCCCGCACACATTACCGCAGCTTCCGGGGTGGGGGGGGTGGGGGGGGGAGGCTTTGCTTGTTTGAATCTTGAGGGTCTCGGGGCGGAAAGAAAGGTTGGAGGTGAGCCGCGCCCTGCCAACCGCCCCCCTAGACTGAGGCTGGCCTCCTCATCTCTGCTTTCCATGCCTTCGTCCCTTCCGATCTGCTTCCGGTTCATGTCCGCTTTGCGGGCCTCCACTCGCCTTCCCCCGAATCCCTTTTTGCTTCAGTGACTTGAGTTACTACTTTCTGTCACCTACAACCAAGGACCGATGCCTCAGGAAGTTTACAGACTAGAAAGGAAAACACAGTCACCGAGAACAACGGAAATACCAAATGCAGGGCAGAGCGGGCCGTGGAGCTGGGACAGGCCGGGTGCAGGCGGGAACCTTGTTTATAAAAGACCAGACGGTAAAGGTTTCAGCCTCGCGGCCGTGCGGTGTCCGCTGCACCGGCTCTGCCGTCGGCGCCCAGGAGCAGCCGCGGAGGCAGGTCGCCCGCCGAGCAGCGGCCCCGGTCAAGCTGGTCGCCGGCGCCCGCGGCCACCCGGTCAAGCTGCGGCGCCCGCGGCCACCCGGTCAAGCTGGTCGCCGGCGCCCGCGGCCACCCGGTCAAGCTGGTCGCCGGCGCCCGCGGCCACCCGGTCAAGCTGGTCGCCGGCGCCCGCGGCCACCCGGTCAAGCTGGTCGCCGGCGCCCGCGGCCATGCCTGCGCTCGGGGCGGTCTGTGCGTCCGTCCGCGCTGCCGGCTGCGCCCCCCACTCCCCCCCCCAGATCCTTCGCTAACTGCTGACTGACTGACACGGGTCGCTCTGCCCGCTGTTCTCTTGCAGAAGCAAAACCGGCGCCAGAAATATTTGAAAATGAAATCCTGGCGCTGCTGAGGGACTTCGCGAAAAACAAAAACAAGGAGCAGCGGCTGCGCGCCCCGGACCTCGAGTACCTGTTCGAAAAGCCCGGTGGGCGCTGAGGCCCGGCCTGCGCGGAGCTCGCCCACGGCCCCCCTCCCTTCCCCTCAGCCCACCGCCCCGCCCCGCCCCGCCCCGCGGGGAGGCACCTCTCCAGGGGAGGCACCTCTCCAGGGGAGGCACCTCTCCAGGGGAGGCACCTCTCCAGGGGAGGCACCTCTCCAGGCCGTGGCAGGCGCAGGGCTCACGCTGGCACTGCTTGTCCGGCCCTCGGCCTCGCGCGGTTTAGAAGCGTGACACACACGGAATTGCCTTTAAAACGGCGACTCGCCTGCAGCCACCAATGCTGAGCTGACTTTCACTGGCGTTTCTGAAGTCAGGTGTTTAAAAAGAAGCAGATTTTGCGTTATTACATAAATGTGTGTCCATTTCACCTACAGAAAACAGTGATTAAAGAAAAACAATATTAATCGTTTTGTGATTACTCCTTCTACTTAAAAATTACATATGCCCAATAACTGGTTTGGAAATTAGCTAATTAATTAAATATATTTTTTTAAAGAAAAAAAAGCCCTAGCTGGTTTGGCTCAGTGGATAGCGTGTCGGCCTGTGGACGGAAGGGTCCCGGGTTCACTTCTGGTCAAGGGCGCATGCCCAGGTGGCCGGCTCAATCCCCAATTATTGATGTTTCAATCTCTCTCTCTCCCTTTCCCTTCCTCTCTGAAATCAATAAAAATATTTTTTTTAAAAAAGGGGTTTGTCAAAGTGCTGCTGGCAGCAGGCCTGCCTGGGCTCTGGCCGGCCTCTGCCACAGGAGGGCAGTGTAGGGAAGCAGATGTGCCCGCTCAGCGCTCGCGGCAGAGGTGCTGGCAGGGGCGGTGGCAGCGTGGGGGACAGCTCCCTGAGCCCGGGGGCGGCCCTCCCCTCCAGCCCAGCGGGGCCTCCTGCCCAGGGAGTCTGGAAGGCACAGCGGGGGGAGTGGGTGTGTGTGCTGCGTAACAGCCAACTTCCTCCTCAGGTTTCCTTTCTCTAAAATGTCACTTTGTAAACAACAATAACCGAATATTAGAGAATGTTTTAAGGCGGAAAATCAAAATTCC